GGCTATGTCATAATCAAATGGGACTCAGAGGTTGCAGTCTGAGAATATCCTTTAGATGATATGGTCCTGAGCTGCCAGTCCTCATTGTTGGATGACCTTCCTGTCTGATAGAGGGTTTCCCACTCTATGGCTTTCATGACTGAGTGGGCTTGCAGGTGGTGGAGATTCAGTGGGCATTACATAGAGAGAGTCATGTCCTGGATGTAGTGAAACACCTCAGGATCCTGGAGCCACCTGAGGGGCATCAATGGAGTCTCTAGTGTGGTCTCTAATGCTGGATGCTTGCATGGCAGTAAAAGGGTCAGAGGATGGCAAGTTATTAAAGAAATCTGTAGAAAGGTCCTTGTCCTTACAGTCAGTGATGGGAGGCAGGATCCATAGGTTCTGGAAGCCCACAAGGCAATTGTTGCTGTTTCTGTCATCTGATTGTCAGAGTTGAGAGGGGTATTTGTGTCCTTCTTCTTCTTGAATATTCTCTGAATGTGAGCCACTAGGCTCAGCTTTGAGTATGGCTTCTTTCTCAGGCTGGAAGGAGGATCAGAGAGTATGAAGGATGTTATGGAGTGGTAAGTCAGGAGTTACATTTTAGAGGATATGGCAGATGTTCTGAAATTCCTGATAATGTCTAACCACATAGACAGTGATTGATTAGCATTCTCAGCACAGCTGAATGATCACTAATAATCCCAACAGCATTCTGATGATGGAAGCTAAAAGATCAAAGAAGTCATGTTCAAAGTTAGAGGAGTTTGAGTTAATAGATGGCATTCAGTTTTCTTCATGCTTATTGTGCATAAGGAAAGGAAAGTGAAAGCTTCAAGCTAATTGTTAGACCCAAATTGCACATGATTATATTCATGTGATAAACTGATATCACTTTGTGTTCAAGTATTTCATCAGAGTCCACTGATATGAATATTAAATTGTTATGCATCAAGGCCTTTGTGATTGGCTCAAGAGTAGAATAGTGTGATAATAAACTTTAGCTTGAAGCTGAGGTTTACCAGCAAGAATGAGCTTTCTTATATACTACAAACTGTTATCCTATAAATATGACTACTTATTGTGTGTCTATTCATTATTATACTTGTTGTCCTTAAGCATTGCTATGTTCTACAAAAGGTTCTTTGTGCTTCATCAAGCATTGTTGTCATATTGAGAGACAATGACTGACTGGGCTTATTGTGCTGACTAAGCCTGTCTCACAGTCTCAAGCACTAGTTTAGGTGCTCTGACTAAGCATAAATAAGAGCAGAAGAAGAAAAGTGGAAAAATCATAACAATATCTCTTTGAAATATTGAAGCCAATATCAGAAATCATTGTAACATAGGAGCAGAGTACCTCATTCTTCAGGTATTCTATCAAGTGTCCATCATCTTTAATATTGTCAATAAGTTCAGCCAGTTTAGCAAGTCATTCAAATTCATTGAAATATTCACTGGCTATCTGATCCCCCATCTGTAAATCCTTCATCTTCTTTTTGTGAACTTCTTGAACCACCAGATTAATGAACTTGTCATAGATCATTTGTTTGAATATTGACCAGGACAGCAGTTGATAATGCCTCTTAGTTGTGGAATATAAGTTCTGGCTTTTCAAGGTCCATCAGACTTTGGCTTTGTCCTCAAAATAGAAGGTGGCAAAAGTGACTCAGTAGATGTCAGCTGATAAGTATGTAGAATATACTTTGAAATATTGTTTACAATCAATTAAGAAGCAGTCAATGTCATCAGAGTGCCTCTTAAAGGGCTATGGCTTCTATACAAGATCAGATTTGCATTGTATAAGAACTGAGCCATTAGCAAGTGGCTCTATTGGATTTGGATATTTGTGAAAAGGTGGAATTTTCTGGTGTGACCCAGAGAACAAATGGAGAGAGTGATTATCAGTGATTGGACTCTCAGTAGATTGGTTTGGTTTCCTGATGATTCTTCTGTTGATGACTGTGAACTTCTATCTAATGGCTTCAGGATCATCCTCTTCAGTCTGACCATTGGTCCCAGCTTTATCAGCAGAAGGCTGTCCTCTCATCAGCTGGGTTCTCTTTGGCTTCTAGGAGTATCAGGTCAAGTTCTCAGTCTGCAGGATTTGTGATCACCAGCAGCATATAAAAGCTGTGGCAGTAGTTTGGATGATTGATGTTGAATAGGCAGCCTGCATTGGTGGAATAGGCAGCATATTCAGCATGGGTCAGATATTGAACTGAGACTGATAACCCAGAGGTTTGGCCAGGGGGTCTTCAGGATGAGCATGATTATAAAGGAAAATTACCTGTTCCATAGCACTGTACTGTAAAATGTCAATTTTTTTAAAGCTGGTTGCTATTAAATACTCTTTTTTCAATGAAGTCATCCTCCATCCTACAGTTTGGAGAATTTCAATGACTCTCTCCTGGTATATTCTTTTAAATTTTTTTTCTCATTCTCACTGTATCTCTTCTTCTAGTAGTTCTTCATCTTTGGGTTTATAAAACCCCTTAGACCAGTCAAAAGACACTATGTTCTGATTATTCTCCTCACTGTCCTTGTTGTCTCTATTGTCCTCCTCAGAGGAGTTATCAGATAGATCAAAAATAGATGGCATCTGGGGTTTCACTATCACAGATAAGCTGTCCTTAGGTGCTAGGTCTGAGGTCAGCAGGAGAGGTAGGTTGGAGGAGGAGTCCTTTGCTGGACTCAGTCCTACTGTCTGTTGTCTTCACCACTGCATGATATGCTCAGAACCAGTCATTATTTTGCTCATCAAGAAGTACTCCAGCAACTCTGCCTTGGATGAGTCATCAGATGATTGAGTCAGAAATATAGACTGGAGATAGAGGATGGATTCCATATGCAGATAAGGGTGTTCTGGGAGTTCAAAGAAGAGAATCTGCTATAGAGGTATCAGAATGTTTGGATCTAAGCTAGCTTGCCAATGAGCCTCATCAGCTCAGCTCATGAAAAAGACTCTGGAGTTCACTATGATACCCATTCTACTCATAGTGGTTTCTTTATTGCTATTGTCTGCTTTTTTCTTTATGTCATTTTCTTTCATAAGCTTTCTCAGCACTATGCCAGATCTCAGACTCTGACTGGAGTCTGGCTGGCTAGACCCTATGAGCTCTCACCATGTTGCAGTTGATGCTCTACCAATAGGGATCAATGTCACTGTGCCTATCACTTTGGTCAGTGTAGTGAGAACTTATAGTATTCCTATAGCTGGAACTCATGGTGTTTCTGTAGTCAAATAGGAATGTGTTGGGGATCACATAGAGGAAGTTGTAGCTAGAGCTTGTAGCCACTCTAGTGGCATCAAGAGAGTCTCAAGCATGATTTCCAATTCTGTGCTCTAAGGAGATAGTGGTAGGGATGGAGGATGGTTTCACATTAAAGAAGTCACTGAAGAGATTCTTGTCCTTATAGTCTGAGACTGAAGAGAGGTTCAGCAGGTTGTGATAAAGGATGTGTCAGTAGTATTATTGGTGGTGTCAATGTCTTTCTTGTTCCACTGAAAAAACTTCCAAATCTGTGATCTAGGAGGAGGCTTTCAATATAGTTCTCTGCACAGGCTCATTAGTTGTTTAGGCAGGGTCAGGAGAGAGGTCATAGAGGGAGAGAACAGGTATGACATTTCAGGTTCAATAGTAGACTGTTCAGAGCTTATGATAATACCTGATTATTTAAGCAGTAATAGATTGGTTTCCTTGGCAAAGATATATGATAATGAAAAGCCTTAGCAAGATGCCAATAATGGCACTCAAGAGCTTGACAAAGTCAGATGTAATATCACAGGTTGAGAGCATTCAGTTTTCTTTGCCTCTAGAGTGTGTAAGAAAAGGGAAGCAGAAAGCTTTGAGCTAACTGTTAGATCTAACTGGCATGTGATCTGAATATATGATAAACTAGTACTGTATCATGTTTATACAGTCACACTAAAGTTCACTCAATGTGCTCTGATAGATAGAGTGCTTCTAGACCAAAGATAAGCTAGGCTCAAGAGAAAATAGTGTGAGATAAACTTATAGCTTAAAGCTAGACTATTACAGTGAAAGCTATCCTACTTATATACTGTTCAACTTGTAACAAATATAACCACTACCTATTATGCTGTTTTTGCTATGATACTGATGCTGCCTGGTCATCAGAGGTGAAACAATAGAGAATTGTCTGTAGACAAGGTGACTGAGTACAATGGCACTCTGTCTGTTGTGATTACCTAATCTTCCCACACCCTTTGAGAAAGTGCTCAGAATAAGATAGATGCTCTGATAAGATAAGAAAAGAAAAAGAATATGGAGAAAGTCATAACACTTTAGCTACATCAAAACAAGCTCAATGGCTTGGAAAGAATACTTCAAAAAGACAGTCTTCATATGAATCATCCAAATGCCAATTCTACAATTGAACCTCTTCTGCATTCCAGATCAACTTCAAATTATGAGAACATCCAACAGAGGGCCATGGACTGTCATGACAGATTTAATGTTCATAATAAAATGTAAGTTCCTTCTTTGCTTTAATGTTGAGGCCATTTATCAATTACCATTAGGCATTAGGATTCTCCAGAAGACTAGGGAAGCAGTCAATGACTGGGACATCATCCATCAGTGGAAATATTTTCTCAGAGAGCTCTTTTCAAGATTCACTATCAGTCTCAAGCAGCTAAGGATCAAAACTTGGGTGAAGGAACTTGTTAAGGATAAAAGCATTATAGAGGTCTGGTAGTCTCTGTGCAATCAGAACATGGACAAACATAGTGCTTTTGACCTATATGCTGCTAGTATTGGTAGTACCAATGATGGATACAGAGCTGGTATCACACTTATATTGTTATCAAGCTTTATTTACTATCTTTTATTGGGATTTTGCTGGAAAGTTCTAGAAAGGGCAATCCAGCATCATGCCAAGAGTTGATGAGCAAGCTTGAGAGAAAGAGAAAGTTGTAGTAAATTCTAGATATAAGCCTGGAGAGTATAAATACAAGCTCTGTAGGAGCTGTAGAATAACAAGTTCATACCATCTGGCCTTACCAGCCTGGAGTCTACCCTGTGCAACACCTGAGGATTTCCAACACTTTTGCATTCTGGTTCTCTTCATCGGACGTTTAGCCTCAAGATGGTTGACAGCGAGACAGGAGCCAGCAATACAAAGTGGCCTTGCACCATCCCATTCCACATCTTTCCAGCATTCGGACGGAACTGGATTCCTTTGTTTTCGACGACTCGTGTTGTGTCAGGTTGTCTACCGAGATAAATCGCATACGGACGGTAACGAGTATGTGTGTAAAGCGAGAAATCCAACTGACGACATTGTATGGGCATTTGATTCATATGGCTCAGAGCTGGAAGTACTCATCAGGAGCGATCCGAAAAGTCAGGCCGCACAGGCGCATTTTGTTTGGCTGTATTGGAATGGCCAGAGTTTTATCTCGCTCGCGTCGCGTCCGATCTACAGTCGGGCAAATATTACCAGTGAAATGAAACTCATTTTCAGGCTTGTGTCCAGATCAGCTGACCAGATTCAAGCAAGCCCACCCGTCTGTTTCAATAGTTTTTCCGACGTCGCTTTTACTTTCTTCCGCTCCCGACTGTTAAATACGTGTGGAGCCCCGCACTATTTTTCTACAATGGCCGATCAGACCTATATTTGCGTCGTGGGTGCTAGTGGGGTACGTGTTCCTCCAACTTACATGTCGAATGATGCTGATGGCGGCAGCTCATTGGTTTTAGGCATACGCAACATTGTATAGATGAACCGCTCGTCAAACTATCCTGTATCGTCGACCCTATGCCTGCAGGTGTAGAGCTCGCCAAGAAGCACAATGTTCCTCATTTCAATTCCGTTGATGATATGCTGGCCGCCAAGGCGGCGGGCGCAGTCAAAGTCGACGGTGCTATCCTCGCTACTCCCAATCACACCCATGTTCCCTTGGGAATCCAGCTTGTCGAAGCAGGCGTTCACGCCCTTGTTGAAAAGGTGACTTACTTTTTTAAATGCTACCGGCGGACCTTGACAACAAATACCAGCCTATGTCTACCGATATACCCTCGGGGAGAGAATTAGTCGCGGCAACGAATGCGACTGGATTCAAAGTGTTAGTCGGACACCATCGTCGGTTCAATCCTTACATCGTATCAGCGAAACAACAGCTGGTCGACGGGAAGCTCGGAAATGGTAACGCTCTCTTGCATAACGCCAACCCCCTCCTCACTATCCTCCTCTAGTTCTCGCTGTTCAAGGAGAATGGACTGTCCTCAAGCCCCCCGAGTATTTCGCGCCACCTACCAGCTGGCGAGGAGAGAACAAGAGCGGAGGTGTCATCCTCATTAACCTGGTCCACGATATGGATTTATTGCGCTATTTATTTGGCGACGTCGTAAAGGTGTACTGTGAGAAAGGGCCGGTTACGAGGAAGAACAGCGTCGAGGAAACCGGAGCAGTTATCCTGACGTTTGAAAGCGGCACGATCGGTACCTTCATCTTTTCGGACGCCGTAGCCTCACCACATAATTGGGAGGGAGCGAGTGAGTGCATTCTTTCTATCTTCTGGGCGAGGCCCCAATAAATACATCCATAGCCGGAGAAAACCCTACGATGCCATATACTGTTCGTCTCTCATTCTCCATTGTTAATATTGTCATTGACAAAGAGCGCACCATAGGGCCAACACGTGTACACATTCTTTGGCACCAAAGGTACGATGTCCGTCCCCGAGCTCAAAGTACACCGCTATGCCAGGGACGACGACAAAGGCTGCTGGACGGATCCGTTCACCGCCGATCCTGCACCTGCTATCGAGGATATCCCGCCATTTACCCTTCAACTGCGCCATTTCGTGGACATATGTAAAGGTCGGGCGGAACCTAATTGTAGCAGCTTGGAAGCGCTGAAGGCAATCATACTGTTGGAGGCAATCAAGGAGAGTATGGCGAAGGGCGTCTCGGTGGCCGTACTGCAAGGTTAGAGTTAGGCAATCAGCATCAGTGAAAAAAATGTAAATGTAAATCGAGATTTGCGCCTGGACTGCGTGGGTATCAATCTGACTTACCTAAGAAGTCCAACGCGGCGCTTTTTCCATCTTTCGTTTTCAGTGCAACTATATTTGCTATTACCACTCAGATGGTCAGAACCGGTGAACCCTCACTTCAGAAAAGAAAATATCTCGAGTAAACCGTTCTGAGCACATGCTTGGGTGCGTTCCTCAGTTCCCCACTGCCTCAACGTTAAGCGGCAGTTCAGTAGCATCCCCCTCGTCATCTGAATTACAGGACCTTCTCCGGACTTCTCAAAAGTGGACGACCCTTGTCAGTTGAGAATGCCATTTTAGCAGTCCACCTCAGAATGTTGATGGTCATTGGACTGGATAGTTTCAAGCCCTCTCTTCGCTATGCGACTTTTGGTGTACCCTGTTCTTTCGCTTTGTGCTGCCTTAGTTTCGTCTTCTCCGCAGGTTCAGCTCCATAGGACGACAGTGGTGGGGAGGGACATTACAGGGTTAGAACAAGATTTTTTCGGAGGTGCGTCACCGTCTATAAACTGGTGACCTTACTCAAAGAATGATTAGGTATACCCTACGCGGAATCACCTCTTGGACCGTTGCGTTTGCAACCACCAGTATTTAAACCAGACCTTAATGTGAGAATTTTCAATGCAAGCAGTTTTGGATTGTCCTGTCTCCAACCGGCGAGTGTCTTCCTGTCCCATGTATGTGGTCGTAGCTGACCGATCCACAGGGAATGTCCAGTGGCCTTATTTCAGAAGACTGCTTGACCATCAATATCTTTCGTCCGAGCAACGTTACGGAAAGATCGTCTTTGCCCGTGTTATTCTGGTAATCGCGTTTCCCCGTTGCAACGTTTTTTATCAATAGTGTTCACCCGTAGGACGCACGGTGGTGGCTATCAAACTGGTTCTGCATCCGAGTTCAATGGCAGCGCCATCGTCGCTCAAAGTGTCGAAAGAGTAAGGGCCGTCACGAAGTGTTTTGTATTTATTATTGACGCCGCGCCATAATCTAGGGAACGCCTATTATTTATATTAATTTTAATTACCGTCTGGGGCCTCTCGGTTTCCCCCAGGGAGCAGAAGCTGCATCTCGGGGCATACTCAATCTCGCCATTGAAGACCAGCTTGCGGCGCTGAAATGGGTGCAGTTAAATATTGGTGCATTCGGAGGGGACAAGGACAAGGCAGGCCCAAATCTTACCAATATATATCGTCGGGTTAACGTGTAGCAGGTGACGGTCTTTGGAGAGAGTGCGGGTTCCGGTATGATATCCGTACTCTTTCTAAACCCATCTATATCCAAGTTTGCAAGAGCGGCGGTACGCGTGCCTAACCACAGCTGTCGAATTCATTCACATACCAGCCGTAGATTTTTGAGTCCGGGTCTGCTTCTTCAACTCTCACATTTGACGCTCAACGTCGAGAAGACTCCTGGACCAATTTCGTGGGGGGCGTACCAAGCTGCAGCTCCCTTGTTGGGACGTCGATCACAGTAGACTGCTTACAGGCCGTGAACTCTTCAGATATTCTTGAAGGGTTGTTGCTAGCCGAGGCAGAAACGGACGAACAGCTTCCATTCGATCCGACCCTTGATGGTGACTTTGGTGTTTTCCCAGATTTGCCTTCTCAATTGTTTCCCCGAGGCCAGTTCGCGAGATTGCCCTTTATCGCCGGTACAAACCTAGATGAAGGTGCGAGTTTTCTAATTATTATTGTTCTTCGAAACTCACCATCTGTCTAGGCACCTTGTTTTGTCCCCCGGAGTTGAACTATACTAATGACCTCCTGCGTGAAAATTTGAATGCGAACTTTTCCCCCCCAACAGTTCCTCGCAACGTTCTGGATGACTTTTTGGCGTTATATCCTGATGATCCCTCTGCTGGTTCTCCATACAATACAGGAAATGAGACATTTGGTCTCGCACCCCTCTATAAGAAGTGTGCCGCTTTGAGTGTGTTTGTTCATTCACTTGTCCTTCGCTTGTTTGACGGTTTTTGTGCTAGCGAGTGATTTAATGTTTGAGTCCCAAAGGCGCCACTGGATTCAAACTACTTCGGAATCTGGTGTCAAGGCATTTGGATATCGTTTCACACAGCGTCTTTCTGCTACGGCGGCCTACCTAGGAGGTACGTCTTTTTCACTGCCTATTGCAACGCTAGGTTGACCGTTACATTCCTATGAAGTGTCTCACGGCAGCGAGATTCCGTTTGTGTACGGTACCTTGGGGTCTCTCAACGAAACAGCTGCAGCGAATGAGCTCAGCGTGATGATGATCGACTACTGGGTGTCTTTTGCAACGAGTCTGGACCCTAACGATGGTCATGGCTCATCACGTACGTAGGTTCCGCCTAGTACAGCTTATATCAATCCTTAGTGTCATCCCTTAGGTCCCCAGTGGCCGCAGTACACACCGAGTCAACAGGTAACTTTTGTTCCATCCATGTCAAATAGTCGAGCTTATCCTTCACAGGTGCTACTGCAACTAAACGGCGATAACCTGACTGTCATTCCTGACGATTACAATAAAGAGAAGATTGATTTTATCATTTCTGAAGGTGCCGTCTTTCGTCACCGTCGTTGAAAATGATTGCTTCGTTTCGTTACATGTTCAATGCAATCGGGAAGTAAAACTGAAGTTCTGGGATTTGAAGACTAAGGGTTGCTATTGAAGTGAGTGATTGATTCGCAGAAAACACTGAAGGGCCGCCGAATGGTCGGTTCGCCAAGTGGGACCACGACAGCATATTTTTCAATCTCGCCAGAGGGAAGTTAAGACATGGTTAATTTTGGGTGGTATTTCGATATCAATCAGGATAAAATTGACCTAGAAGACGTCGTTCGCAACGGTCAAACTGGACCAAACAACCTCTCTTCTCTATCGCCATCTGCAACCTTGAACACGTATTTCTTCGCCTTTCTGGCCAAAGGAATGGTGCAAGTCCTGCCTAAGGACGGATGAGAACTTATCGACAATTTGGTAGGCCAGTCGTCGCTTCCCGTTATGGGACGGTTTGTTCGGGGCCTGTAGGGCGCCCGGAAGAAACATTTGGTTTACTGTACAGTCTCGCTTCTATGAGTTGGCATTGTTTCTACTTCTGTTCTGCTTCTTGACAACATTCACTCTATTCGTCTTATAGGTAGCGACTTTGACATTCAACACCGAATCTCGCTGTGGGAGCAGATGAGAAAGCGTACGAGGATGGGCTAGGTCGCATGCCGCTTGAATCAGGCGATTGATTTCACGATGCTTCTAGTCCCCCGTTTTTGGCATTTCAAGGAGAGTCTGCTTCATCAGTCTGGTTTCGACGAAATGGTAGTCGACTTTTGGATCTCATTTGACACGAGCTTGAATGCCAACGATGGCTTAGGATGCATCGTGAGCGGGTCGCATGTTACCTGTTGAACGCATACTGATCATCTCCCAGCTCCACTTTGGCTGCGATACACCTCTGAGAATGAGATATGATAAAACGATCCTGTTGAAGCGGATTGTTTTGAATGATAATGGCCTCAGATACTCTTGCAACTACTTGGTGGCAGCGCAGTGGTCATTCCGGATGACTATTGCAAGGAACATATCGAATTCCGAGCATGGTTAACGTCGACGTTTTCATCCGGTAAAGTAGATGCCCGTACATATATCTTTCCCTCGGTGACAATGCGTACGTCTACCCCTCCGTAGTGCTGAGTTGAATGAGAGAAGAAGATTCGCACGTGTGTCGTCAATACGGTGCGATGCTCAGCCTAGCATGCGTCAGTTGGCCAGGAGTCATTACCCCGTGAGCCTTCTCTATGAGCCGAAATACGGCTGAAACTTTCCGCAGCATGCGTCTGAAGAGAAGATATTCCAAGTAAAGCGATCTCAGCCCATGGTTCAGCGATGTGCGGGTTCATTCCCGGTTGTAATTTTAGTGCGTGCCTTGGCTTCCCCCGTTTTCCCGTACCTGAGCGACCCTCAGTGATTATTATCAATTTATAAATATGGACTGCTCAAGCCGATGATCCATTGTATGCTGTTATCTTTCTAGTCGTATCAGAAAGTCTACGACGAAGTGAGCAACCTCACGTTCTGTCTTCACCATGCAAATTCTGGTGCACTACATTCTTTCGCTTTGTATTACCTTGGTTTCGTCCTTTCCGCAAGTTCAGCTCCATAGGACGACATTGGTAGGGACGGACATTACAGAACTAGGGCTAGACTTTTTTGGAGGTGCGTTACCGTCTATGAACTGGTGAGTCATGACCCCCCCACTGAAGGAACGACCAGGTATACCCTACGCGGAACCGCCCCTTGGATCGCTGCGGTTGCAGCCACCAGTGTTAAAACTAAATCTCGATGGGGGATTTTTCAACGCAACTAGTTTTGGACTATCCTGTCTCCAACTGGTAAGCGTCTTTCTGTCCCACGCGCCCGTATGTAACCGATCCATAGGGATCCAGCGTCCCTATTTCAGAAGACTGCTTGACCATCAATATCTTTCGTCCGAGCGGCGTTACGGAAAGCTCATCTTTGCCCGTGTTATTCTGGTAATGGCATCTCTCCTTCTCAAGGTCTATTGACAGTGTTTGCCCGCAGGACGTTTGGTGGCGGCTTCGAGTCTGGTTCCGCGGCCGCTTTCAACGCTAGCGCCATCGTTGCTCAAAGCGTAATAAGAGTTAGGGCAACCATGGAATATTTTCATACATATTATTGATTATCACGAATCTAGGGAACTCCCATCATCTATGTCAATTTTAACTACCGCCTTGGACCTCTGGGTTTTCCGCAGGGGGCGGAAGCCGCATCTCGAGGCATACTAAATCTCGCCATTAAGGACCAGCTGGCGGCACTGGAGTGGGTGCAGAAAAATATCGGCGCATTTGGAGGGGACAAGGACAAGGCAGGCCCAAATGTTACCAACGTACATGGCCTCATTGACAGTGCCTTGATAGGTGACAGTGTTTGGAGAGAGTGCAGGTTCTATCATGACCTCCATACTCTTTCTACATCCATCCATATCCAAGCTTGCAAGAGCGGCGGTACGCATTACTGAAACGGAATTCGAACTCACTTACATACCACCTGTAGATATTCGAGTCCGGGTCTGCGTCCACGTCCCTCACATTCAATGCTGAACGTCGACAAAATGCCTGGAACAATTTCGTCGAAGGCGTACCAAGTTGCGACTCCTTTGTTGGGACGCCATTTACTGTAGACTGCTTACAGTCTGTCAACTCTTCAGATGTTTTTGAGGGATTGTTGCTGACCGAAACAGAAGCAACGGAAGAGTTTCCGTTTGATCCGACCCTTGATGGTGTCTCTGGCGTGTTCCCGAACTTACCCTCCCAACTGCTTCCTCAAGGCCAGTTCGCCCGATTACCCTTTATTGCTGGTACCAACTTGGATGAAGGTGCGACTTTCCTACTTGTAGTTTTTCTCTGAAATGCTGACTGTGTGTCAAGGAACTTTGTTCTGTCCGCCGGAGTTGAACTATACTAACGACCTCCTCAGCGAAATGTTGAACGCGAACTTTTCGCCTCCAACAGTTCCTCAGAACATTCTGAATGAATTATTGGCGTTATATCCTGATGATCCTTCTGCTGGTTCTCCATACAATACGGGTAATGAGACATTTGGTCTAGCACCCCTCTATAAGAAATGCGCCGCGTTGAGTTGGTTCGTTCCGTTACCTGCTGTTCGGCTGCTTAATGTATCTCATAGCGGGCGACTTAATGTTCGACTCTCAAAGACGCCACTGGATTCAGACTGCATCAGATGCTGGGGTGAAAGTATTTGGATATCGTTTCACACAGCGACTATCTACTGTCCCGGCTGAGCTTGGAGGTGCGTTTCGTTCACTATTGCAATCTAGGTTGACGTCTACGTTCCCACAAAGTGCCTCATGGTAGCGAAGTACCATTTGTGTATGGCGCCTTAGGGTCCCTCAATCAAACTGCGTCGGCGAATGCGTTAAGCATAATGATGATTGACTACTGGGTGTCTTTTGCGACTAGTCTGGACCCCAACGATGGTCACGGAACATCTCGTGCGTAGTGTCTGCCTAGCTTAGCATTATCTATCTTCAATGTCGCATTTCTTAGGTCCCACATGGCCCCAGTACACGCCCAGTCGACAGGTAACACTTGTATCCATGTCAAATAGTTGCTAAAACGGTCTTCACAGGTGCTGATGCAACTGGATGGGGACAATCTGACCGTCATTCCCGACAATTACAGCAAAGAGAAGATTGATTTCATTATTTCTGAAGGTGCGGTCTTTCGTCATCGTCATCGATAACGATTGGTCCATTGTACAATGGGAATTTTGGCGCCTGCGATTAAGTAGGAAATAAAGCCCTGAGGTGTGGAATTCGAGCTAGTACCTGATTGATCTTTCACCTGGTTTGATGGAGATAATAGCCATGATAGGAACTTGAGACAGAACGTCAACTTACGCTAGTCTTCGAGATGGATACAACAAAACCAGCGAGCGGACAACATGCACACAGTCGACTCTCTCATAACCCATACCCCTCATAACCCATACTCTCCCATAACCCATACTCCCTCATAACCCATAGCTCTGAGGGTCCATCGACCGCTATGGGTTATGAGAGAGTCGACTGTACCATGAGTTTTGTATCATCTGGTTCTCCACATGGAGCGTGCAGTACATAACTCTCTTTTAGCGCGGTATATTTTGGTGAAGTTAAGGATTAGGGTGATATCTCAATACCTAGGAACATCAGCCAGAGGAAAGCACCCGAATCGGCAAAGGGGAAAGCTCACTACCAAAGACGTGGATGCAGGAGTCTTGGACTTGGTCAATGCCGCAGTGATCAAATCGAGCTAAACAAACGCTATCCAGGGCCATCCAACCATGGAGTATGTGGCGCTAAAAATCAGGCGACGCTTCTAGCTCCTCGTGGTTCAAAAAACCCGCTTTATTCATAATGCTCAAGGCCAGTCCGTTTCATCAGTCCGATTGGGTGAAATCACGGTCAAATCGGAGGTCTTATTTTCCACGAGCTTGGATCTCAGCGACGTGCCTCGTATGTGGCTCACATGTTTTCCGGAAAACACATGCTGATTATTTTTCAGCTCCATTCTGCCTGCAGTACCCGTCTGAGAATGAAACCTGGGCCTTCCCAAACCGAGGCAGAAAAACATACCGTGGAAACGAAAAGATCTTGTCCCGTCTCGGGCTATTTAAATCGGGACACCTGTAGATGGATTATTGACTATTACTGAGCGGACCATGTCAAGGAGGCATTACCTCGTGAGCTTCCTCTTTGAGCTGAAACGCGATTGGATTTCTGGCATGCTTCTCAAGAGAAGATATGTCAATTCTCAGCGCATAGTTCAGTTCCACTCGCGAAGGTTTTAACTCTAGTGCGTGGTTTCAAGCTAGTTTCTTCCGCTTTCCTCGTACCTAAGGTCGGGGTGAACCTAAAATATTGCGATGCCCTTCACCATCTGATTATTATCGTCTTCAGCTATAAGCATAGACCTCTCCAATTGTCAGTTCTAGTCTATCAGAAGTCGACAACCAACTCAATCTTCATCATGCATAATTTGGTCTACTGCGTTCTTTCCCTTTATGTTGCCTTAGTTTCGTCATCTCCGCGAGTCCAGCTGCATAAAACGAAAGTGGTAGGGAAGGCCATTACAGGACTAGAGCAAGATTTTTTCGGAGGTACGTCATTGTTTACGAGCTAATGATCCATCACCACTCATGCGATAATCAGGTATACCATACGCGGAACCACCCATTGGACCGTTGCATTTGCAGCCACCAGTGTTTAAACCAGATCCTGATAGGGGAGTTTTCGATGCAAGCCGTTTTAGGTTGTCCTGTCTCCAACCGGTAACTGTCTTGCTGCCCTGTGTGGTCATAGCTAATCGCCCATAGGAAATATCATATGACCTTATTTCAGAAGACCGCTTCGTCCGAGCGGCGTGACTAAAGATTTGTCTTTGCCCGTGCTATTTTGGTAACCACACTTCATGCCCGCCGAGTTCTTTACTCGACTTCATCATTTTTCAAGGCGCCTAGAATTAGGGAAATAAAGCCAAAGCTCTGGAACTTGATCTATTCCAGCCACTATTGTTATCATCATACATTTCTTACGACCCTCGAAACGTTTCATCACTCATGGGCTATTTTGATTGCATGGGCTATCATGAAAGCTGCTGTTCCCTTCCCGGCGCTTTTCCTCTCAACACCATCACGACAGGTTCACCATGGCGAATGCTCCCGTTGTACTTTTCCTTATACCTGCTTTGGCCATTTCGTTGGCTGTCACTGTACCACTGGTCGGAATTCTTGTTCGATTCAGAGCCAATTATACGCCTAAAAGTCGAATCGCACTTAACGAAGAGAATGCTACACCATTAGGTCGGGTAAATGTTTCAAGTTGCTGTTTTTTTGGTCTAATTATCACTACGCAGGATTCTTCACATATACATACTGGGGCATGGCGAGGCGGATATATCGCATTGAGGTACGGAGACGCCGTTTCCTTTCCCTGTACTTTTTAATCAGAAATGCTCTAGGGTTGGAAAGGGTTCTTCAAGGGATATGGTAGTCGTGTTTTCGGGCTCTTGAATATGCTGTTGACTGTGAATTTCAGCCCCTCCATTTTTCGTCCTTCTTTGCATTTACATGGGAGTGGTGCCCACAGTCTATCAACCTATTTGCCGAGGTATTCCCCTGATTCACCCGACTGGCATTATCTGTATCATGGTGTCCATCTCATTGTCTATGATCCTCGATGTTCCGTGCAGAGTGATTCTTTATCGGTATGTTTTTCGCTTGCTGAAAACGCTGTGCTAAACCATATACTATCAATAATTCCATGGCAACCCCATATGATTTGAGTGTTCTCCATCCTGTACGGTCTTGGAATGCTTTGCGTGCTCCGGCATTGTCTCCTCCAGGCCTACTTGGAGCAACGGCTTTCATTTCAGTCTTTTATTCTGCCGCGATTTTAGTCGGGCCCATTAGATATCTCTTTCTCACCTGGGCAAACCAGTTGACGGATCCTGTCAGCAACCTACCTTTGGCACTTTACTACATCCTTGTGATTGTCTTCACAATCATGGTCACACCTCTGGATGTGATCGCGACACGTTTGGCGGTACAAGGAAACAGCGCTACTGGCCTGGGAGAAGTAAAGAGCATAAGCCGATTGTTCGATCGTAAGTTTTGACAGGCGATCGTTTCGATCATTATTCAGAAAACTTGGTATTCAGGTCTGTACCACACTTGCTTGTAGATAATATCGTAAAATTACGCTGTATCATGCCTACATCAACAGACATAATACAGAGCAGCGCTCAACATGTATCAGAATAAAAAGATGGCAGTAGTGGGGATAGCGAACCACCATCCGCGATATAAAACCGGCCATCCCTCTTCATCCCGGATTCGAGCTGCACAGTCTACCACTCCACCATAAGGGGCCTCGACTTATTCATCCCTTAACTTGACCACCGTCTCCTCTAACAATAAAATTTCTGCGGTGGCTCTCGTGGATCGTCCATCTCATCTCTTCCAATGTCTTCATATTCCTCAATGTCTGGAGAAAAAGACTTCATTCGAACACAAAAAATCCGACCTGCCTGGTTCGAACAGGCGACACCCAGATACCGAAAATTCTTAACCAATTACAGTCTGATGCTCTTCCAGCTGAGCTAAGGTCGGTTATAACATTGGAGTACTACTATTTATATATATCGCAGATACACGCTCCCTCATCCTTATCGCGTTTTTCCCCAGTTCTTCCAGGACCGCAGAATCGTGATTGCTACCTGGGCACAGCACTAAAGAGGCCGACCCTGTCTCCCCCTATGAATGCCCTTACTTTTCTGAGGTCACACTCGCGTTTCCACGACGCAAAACTCTTCGGAAACCTGGCTTATCTGTCGCTATCCATCACACTGGGTCCTGTAAGCATTATAATGGAACTTGGAGCAGTCGAAATCTTGGGTTCGCGTATCTATTGATAGCGTATTCTGCACCACGCGGTTTATGGGCCTAGTTGGTCATGGTATACCACATTATTATCTATGGCATGAAGCAGCATATGGGTTTCTTGTGCTCTTGTCTCGATGTCTGCACAATTCTTCACCCTCGTCTCATTGCTGTTGATATCCTTATTCCTCGAGGCCAACGCGACCCCGGTCTCAGCAGGGACGGATCTTACCATTCACAAACGCTTCGCATCTAGCATTCTTGGGGATGTTCAGCTCCATTACGTGGAGGATTCAGGCGTATGCGAAACAACCGCTGGGGTACATCAAGTTTCCGGATACATCGACGTTGGAACGAACATGTCCATGGTCTGACCTCTCTGTCTACTCCCTGGATGATCTGTTGAAATCAACAACAGTGGTTCTGGTTTTTTGAGGCTCGAGAGTCACCAGAAACGGCCCCGTTCACCTTATGGTCAGTCAACGAAACGTATCTGTAGCAGCAGTTCGAATTGACCGCCAACAGGCTGAACGGCGGTCCAGGATGCTCGTCAATGATTGGCCTTTTCCAAGGTATGGTACATGTCTGCCATTCTTTGAATAAATATGAAAAAGTGTCTCATATCAGAAAATGGGCCCTGCCATGTAAATCCCGATGGTGCAACCACTGTTCTTAATCCATATAGGTATCTACTTCCCCAGCTTTTTCGCTACTTATACTCAAAATGCATCCGACAGTTGGAACAACCTTAGCAATAGTAAATACACTCTCACGTTATATATTCAGGCCTCTTACACGCGTTGTAGTGATTTACATCGATCAACCCATCGGCACCGGTTTCTCATTTGGGACGGACACCGTTAACAGTACACTGTCGGCAGCCCCATTCGTTTGGACGGCATTTCAGATTTTATTCGAGAGTGGACAGTTTTCGAAATTCGAAAGCAGGGAGTAAGCTTCTTCATAAAGGTGAAACATTCGGGTCTGTTAAACTATCTCTAGATTCATCTTTGCCACTGAAAGCTATGGTGGTCATTACGGGCCAGCTTTTGTAACTTACTTCGATCAACAAAACACTTTGATTCAGCAAGGGAAAATCAATGGGGTGGAGATCGTCGTCAGCGCCTTGATGATCAACAAGCATGTCTCCAGTACTTACTATCAGAATGTCGCTGAGCCTTCCCCGTAGCGGTTGGTACGACCCACTCATTCAAAACAAGGCCTACATAGATTTTGCTACGGACGCTCCTGGATACGGACAACTTCAAAGCGATGAAGTACTCGAAGAGATGAACAAAGCGTACTTTGGTAGAGACGGATGTTTGGAGCAAGAGCAAGCGTGCTATGCAGCGGGAAATTCGAGCAGCTCTAACAAGATATGCCGCACAGCTGACGATTTCTGTGTATGTTGTATCGTCGCTTCAAAACTTCCCATCCATTGGTTCACTATCTGACGATTAGATTGACAACATTTTCGTTCCTGCAGTCGGTGATCGCGATTCTGACGATCTCAGGCAGAATTCCTCGGCTCTGTTCCCTCCCAGTTTTTATATTGATTTCCTTGCCAATACAACGGTTAAGAAAAGCATCGGGGCCACTAGCGACTACTCCGAGTGTCCCGATGCTCCGTACGAGCTGTTCGTCCGAACAGGAGATGTGAGTTGATATTATTTTGGGCGGAGGGTAGTAATCATGGGAAATTTAGGACGCAAGGACGCTTCTGCCTCAGTTGGCTGCATTGGTAAACTCTGGACTTAACATGTTGATCTGGGCAGGTGATGCTGATATCAAGTACGTAGTCGTTTAGCTTTTTTCGTGCGCCAGAAGAGAAATTAATTGGCTTCTTCCCCAGCTGCAATTGGCTCGGAGGACATGCGTCTGTTCTCGCTATGGACTGGTTCGGGAAGGAAGCCCTAGCAAACACGCCGTTTACCAATATGACCATCGATGGCGCTGCAGTCGCTGCGATTCAGAACGTCGAGAATTTCTCCTTCGCGTAAGTGTCTGAATACTAGTAATCTCATTCCAGTTGGCTTATGTTACTATTTGTAAAGACGTGTTTATGAAGCAGGCCATGAAGTTGTATGACGCCTTTCGTTCTTCTTCGCGACGCGCTTCTGATTCCCACTTTGCTTTAGCCCGCTTTTCAACCTGCGGCTGCTTTGGAAATATTCCGCCAGGTAATCAACAAGGAGCCTTTACATTCGGTTTGAAAGATTGCACGTAGTCATGAAATCCCAGTCGTGCTTTACGACAGAATTACATACGACCCCTCTACACTTTCCAGATTCAATTTATAGTCGAATTGGTATCCTCATATCAACGCTTTCAAAGACCCAATAAGACTCCCTTGTCACTAATGTCTTGTAAAGGTGCGTGTTTGGATGACTCGCAAATGTTCTCCTGTGTGATCTGAAAGCCATGTACAATATTGCGAAACGGTCAGTTTCGTAGTGTTCCTTTCTTCACGCCCTGCATTGGTCAGGGAGCCATCGTGTCGCATTACATTTTCGGCCATCGGCTTCTTGAGCCCCTAAGTCGCTGATTCTCCGCCAATTCTGTCGATAAGGAACTGCGACATTTCTCAGATATATCAGTACGTACTAATCGAAAGTGGAGTTTGCATAGAATCATTCTGCGTCAGCCATACCCTAATTGAAATGCTTCACGACGACACCCAATACGACTTCCTCTTCAACGTTTTTCTCAACCCCCTCCGTCAGCTTAACCTGTCCATAAGACTTCACGCGACTGGACCTCCACTCCCTCATAGTAGGAGCGACCGTTCCAGGCTTCAATTGGGACTTGATACCAACTCTCTGCAAGACGGGGCTCTCGGTGTGCGGAGCAAGTTGAACATCTTCATCGGCAAAGCAGAAGTAGAATACTCCCAGACGAGGGCAATTCGCCTGATCAGCAGGTGGCTGGATGACCCGATGGCGAGTCGGAGGATAATATCCTCCGCACAGGAAATCAAGGCCATCACCCGCGTTAATGACCTGATTGACATTCTACAATCAGCCTCGGCTGCTGAAGTAGGCGAGAATGAAACCGACCAAAGCGTTGTCCATGTGTTTGACCCACCTCCATTTGCCGTCGGGAGATAGAATCTGCAAACCGCCGATGGGTTGAGACCAGAGCACGGTTACGCAGCCGATATCTGAGGAAATTGATGATCTGTTTTCACCACATAACACGAGATGGTCCTACCGTGATGTCCCTTCAACCAAACACGCTCCGTTTTCTCTTCTTCTTCCTTGCTACGGGGAAAGCTTGACATAGTGTGAGAATAGGAGGATACGAATGAGTACGCAATCGACATACTACTTCATAAATCTCACTGGTAAGGCATGAATGGTCAGGGCAGCTCGCGTGTGAGAAACAAAAGCTCTCACTTGAGGACTCTCCTTCCGCATCGAATTGATGCTGCTTGATCAGAGTATCTTCCGGAAGTTCTAATCCCCGAGCGAGAAGTCTGCAGGCATGTTCAGCAATGTATTACGGGATAAGTAGTGACATTGATATACTTCAAGATGGGGTACACGACATTGAAATGGTTGTGTCGAGCAAAGTCGTCGAGGTATTTCGAATAAGGGCGAAGTGTCGCCGGGTGCTCTTGCTTGTTTGACTTGTTGACTATCGTAAAAACTATATATCAGCGGGCTACTAATTGAGATAAGAAGACGACAGACTGTTATATTGTTCGATTTGATCGCGGATGTCGTTGCGAATGACCTATTAACAAAATTAGTACCGTTTTTGGGGGGTAAATGAAGCGAACGAACCCAGGTTTGCTTAGGTTTGTATCCAAAATAAATGTCGGGCGACTTCCCGGCATAGTGCTCCTTTTCCTTGTCATCGACATTATCGAACGTCATGTTCGCTATGCTGAAGATACGAGCCGTCTACAAAAATTGAAACTTGATCACATTTTATGAGGATACAGACAGCAATACCTGTTCTGGGGTGTATCCATGATTAATGGCATAGAAGAACCCTGTAAAGCGTTAGAAGAGGCGGTATAAGGCAGAGCCTTTCATCACCGACCTTGTTTGTTCATTGCCTCGCGCACTTGCTCAGTTAGCTCTGCTCGGCCAGCTTCAGTCGACGCTTTGGAAAGGTCGATTATGGCAAGATCAGCGTATTCCACTGAAACGATACAATCAGTGGGATAGTCATAGCGCCTAGCCAAAAACAAATATACAATCTGCCTTGGTAGCGGGAGGGAATACATAGGGTGGAGGTTCAGGCAAAGACGAACCGCCAAAAAGCAACTCGTAGAACTTGTTCAGGAGTAAGTTGGCCATGGAAACAGATGTGAGGCTTTGGGAAGAGGATCCATCGAGTATATATATGTTCTCGCATAAAGATTCCGGGTAGATTTGTCTCCAAGACAGAGAAGCTATGGAGCTCCGTCGTGCCCTTCGTTGTTCAGAAGGAAGACCGTCACAATCGGCAGGCATTTGATGTCTATGGAAGTGGTTCATAGCAAGTCAATTGCTATTTTATGGCAAGAGGACGGTACGCACCTTCTTTTTAAAAGAAAATATGGATCAATACAACGCCTAAACTATAGCGACTTAAAGATTCGCGAGTAAAAGGCAGTGACACATTTTTTCCCTAGGCTTCATGGGCTTTGCAAGGCGAATGCATGACGGCGTGCTTTGGGACCCGCTGATTCCTAATGGGTTCAGAGGAAGGTTCGAAGCTCCCTAACAATGATAACCGTCTTATCGTTAGCCAACTTATCCAAAACAGACAGCTACAAACTTACACACTGTCTTCTAATTGGGGGATAAGGGAGAAGACATAGATACGACATGCCCCCACTTGACCATGACGCTTATCGTCTCTCAATGACTGCTGTGCGTCATGTATTTTCACAAAAGTTAACCAGTGAGTGTCGGCCAGATGAACGTCCCTAAAGGCATTCCTTTGTATCAAATGAAGTTGACATTGGAACTCCTCGAGCTTCGCGAGATATACCAATCAGCAGGACCACTCCATGTTGGGGCTTGACAGAATAATTGTCGCTTTCACGTCCCGCATAATTGCCAGAAGAGCTATGATCCTCAATTATCCCCCACCCCAACCAAGTGCACGGACCGCACCTTCTAGGATGGTTCGTTGATCGCTGGGTGCTGTCCTCTGTTCGGAACAGAGGATAAGATAAGTGCATCCAAGTATGGCACGAATTACGGTTCTTTCCCATATCTCGTACGATCTATGATAAGGCATCAGCTATAGAGATTCATATGGATAAAGCGCTGGAGTCCTTCGGAAGGCCAAGGTTACAGAAAAGTCAAGACACAAGATAAGAGAGGATAAGGGAAGCAGATAAGGGCCAGCAGAGAGGTCGTTAGTTGTAATAATCATAAACTATGCAGGAGCTCGACAAGACAGATAAGGGTAGACAGACAAGCCAAGAAAGTAGGTCGCAGCCTTGAAAAGTCAAACGTTGTTCGAGGCAACGCGTAAGGTCACATACAACACGTGACGTGACAAAACTCAATTTTCGATCGCGCATCAGCGCGTGTTATGGACCCACCAACGATCATGAGTCGTCGTCGCTTCCTCCTCGTCCTTCTGATATCTAATGCGGCAGTAAATTTTGTTATCTTGGAACTTCGGAAAACCAAAACCTAACAAGCCACGCCCGCCTTGTCAAAAAAGTACCAGCCTCCTAAGAATCTAAGACACATGGCTTTGTTCCTTCGGAGCCCCAGTCATTGGCCTGAAGAACCGGATAGTCTTAAAAATGTGTGTACCTACCTTGTATATTCTTGATCACTCGTAAAGCCAACGAATATTAAGGAAGCGAGCTATCTGCCTACGACCGTTCTGGAATCTGCTTATTCATCGATTTGAAGTCTTGAGCCTGAACGGAAATGGTGTGAGTAATGATATACGCCGTTGCATAGTTTTTAATTATTACCCCACATCCGGTAAGTATAAAAGACACTCGGCGCTGCTGAACTCATGCTTCAAGTTTGCCCGAGGTAAAATATTTTCCTACAAGTGCCCCGCTACTCCCCGTTCTAGGGCCACATTATTACCAGGCCAACGACACTTTCGAGAAGGGTAGGAATGTTCAATATTCTATGGTGCCTCGGCCAGGTCTAGTCGTCTGCGAACCGACGTTACTCCACCCAGCGAGCTAGGTTATTTCATCAAGGCATTGCTTCCCATTGTACTCCCACGCTAGGACCACATTTTACTAGAAGCTCAAATTAATGCATTAAAGGTAAATAATATCGCCTATAGGAAGGGCACTCAAGATTGTCCTTCTCGGGATCCTGGTACGAATGTATGAGTATCTCCGATTACGCGTTATAGGTTGGAGATGACTGGAAAACTGGAAGATTAATTCTCCTGGGTATAGTTATTGTTTATCACATTCACACTTCTAGGCTAATCGTTGACGGTCTGAAGCTCTCAGTACGGACGGCCTCCTCCACCGGACACACACATGGCGCAAAGAAGACCAGCTTAGGTTTGCGATTTTAGAACGGCGTCTGGTACAGAAGCTACCACGGATAGTAGTTACTGTTATAGTTCTCGTTCTGATTCTCTTTATTAACCTGAGGATGATCAAGACATGCTTGTAGCGCTTTTGAGGTATTTTAAATATATCACCTTGTAAGTCCCCGTGCAATTTAGCAGTCCGGAAACCTCCGCCGCTAGCTTCCAGGAGCATTCAGTGCCTCGCATGATGATCTTTCGAAATAGTTGGTATAATGACATGTACAATAACATGAACATGTAATCCTTTTCCTTCTCACCCCAAAATTCACTCAGGTAGTTTCTCAGATGTACACTACAGGATTCGTGTTCTCCCGCGCATGATATTTCATTTAGTCTCACGCCGTCCAAGTTTTTAATGCTAAAATTAGTCATCCAGGGCGGCTCGTTGCATTTCACAACTTCTTGAAGCATGTCGTGAAGCATCAATATCACGATGTCTGTTCCGCCACCAGGGGCGAAGATTTTCGAGGTGCTGAAGGAGAATGCAAGCAGGCAAAATGTGCAGTTATAGGCTACCCTTCTTTCATTGCAATACTATTGAAGATAGAACTGAGAAATATAAATCAACATAAAACATAGAGGCAACATGCACTTCACTCCCTTCACATGGGCAAGTCTGATGATATGTTTCCAGAGTAACAGATATCAATTTGAAGCGGAAATGAATTCTCTTCAGCAGTCAGTATGCGGCGACTTGGTGGCCAGCAATCTGGCGCGATCGGCCCGGACTGTGAGAAGTTTTTGGTTGCTGACCGCTGTCTCCGCACGGTTCCGACTAGCCCTTGTTCCGATTGCTGCATGTTTAATTGTTGTTGTATCTAGAATGACTATGGGGACCCTTGTCTTTCTTGCTGGAAAGTCTTCCTCTGGAGTGTGTCTTTCACTGGATCAAGAGATTCGGATGACCACCGATACAAGTTCTTTGATTTGGCATGCGAATGTATTCCACAGGTCCCCGTCAACTACCCAGATCTCTCCTGTCACTACTGCCGCAGTCGACTTTTCAGATATCTAATGTGACCACAACTCGGGCCCCACGTCGCTCTCATGACAAGTATTTCTAGTATCGATGATCTATAATCATTGTCTGTGGCTCTTCTCGCAACGTCTACATCGAGATTCTCATTTCTTGAAAAAATATGTTGGTGGACTTTAGGAAACTGTCGTGATACAATGCCTTTTTTGTCTTAGAACAACAGACATTTGGCGCAACCTGCATCTTCCAAAGTCAGCTTCGACGACACGCAGTATATCATCGACCAAAAACAGATTATTACCACGTTTTAGCACATTCCCAGGATGTTCCGTCTCTTGGTCCTTAGCGCCCTACTACCGCCTACCCATGGATCTTGCCTATACCCAGAGATTCGGTAAAATACCACGACAATCGCTAAGATAAAGACCAAATCTGCTAATTCTTCCGACTCGGTATGCCGCTTGGGCTACGCTCGTCGGAGATGGCGAGGCCAGCCCCCGATGTTCTCATCAACACCAACAACATCGGATCCGAATCACTGTAGGTCCCAACCGACATCTCAACTTGGAATCTCTAACTGCCAACTGTCGATCGTAGAATGGGTAGAAACCATCTTGCTCCGGATTCTAAGGCTGTACTCAAGGAAAGTAACATACCTCAAGACGGTGCAGAGCCATTCAAAAAACCAAGTGCTGACTTGTATTGTGAAATTAAAGGCGACACGACATACGCAGCAAGTTATTGAAATTCTTGACGGTTTGTGCGACCTAGCTTCACTACGGTTAGTGACCCGAAGACACGGTTGTCTGCCTCGCCAATCGGTAAATTCGCCTTGCAGGTGGTTCCTGTGGCTTTTGTTCAAGGACCCGTCAGAAGGTGGCTTCTTTGTCGCCCCGCCGAATTATTGGCGCACACCCAATGAGAAGACTTGAACTCTTTCCCGCACGAAAGGTTCCCCACGGTCGTTCTTTTAACTGGGCTAGTCCATGCGCCACTATACATTGCTCATCAGCTCTGTAATGAATGAAGGCCAAACAGGAGTAGAAGATACGTTTGTTTACCCTCTCAACCATCTGTTGAACTCTGGCGCCGGCAAATTCGTACCGTTAAATGATAACAATGATGGCAGTACTTTCATAGAAAACGCAAACTCTAAATGACGCTGACCTCGGGCTCGCTCCCGTCACCGACGATCCATGACGGAGTGGTGCTGCGTCGGCATAACTTCCCTGCTTAAGTCTCCAGATTTCAAATGCGATCCATCATCCTTCCTGACTTTACACCTATTGACTCTACGCATGGTCAAGTTCTCGACGTGTTCCCCATCTGAATTGGTAAAACAGCAATGAAAGAGAACTTGTTAACACGTGAATACCAGGGGCACCCTCGACTCAGGTTCGGGCACCTCACCGAACCCTGTCAGATTGCCCTGTTCTCAAGGTGATTGTGGCGCTATGTTTCGACACAGAGCAAATCTTTTGAAGGGATTTCAATTCACCTCCCACCCTCCTCCTTGTTTCGGGTTAGTCAATCATTGTTCAACACTGAATACAATACATCTGATGCAGAATTTCGGAAAGGAAAGAGAGTCGATGGAATGCAGAGGCGTTTGTTGACTGGTGTATTGAATTCGGACACCGGTTCAAGAGTCTAGACCCGTGATTGCATATCATGATGTAGGACATTTGGTGCGCTCTTTCCACCGGCTGTAATAATGTCGACGGATGTTAATGGGTACTTGGCGCCCATCTTTCAGCGCCCCATTTTGAATTCATTTCTGTAATCTCCTGTGACCTCGCACCTGATGATTGCTGTAGACAGTCATATGCGTACTATACGCAGGCACCGCTGGTCAGAGGCTAGAAGGTCCAACGTCAACCAGGCCGTTGATTTGATTAAATTGTTGTACAGCCGCGCTCACAATGTATTATCAGGCTGTTACGCCGTATTCTAATCGTAGATACACCGATTTCTATGAAAACCTCTGGATGCGTGGGGCGTTTGTGGACTCTTCTACGTCTGCTTTCCGTTCGCTTGCGACCCGCCGCAAGACCAATTTCCCGTTCTTCCAGTTGCTTTGCTTGACTTTTTCATTATACACGTCCCTTGCTTCCATCAAAGCGCGGCGTTGTTATGAATACACCCGAGAGGGTTCGGAATAAATGTGGCTGCATAGCATAGTACAAATTTGAGCGAAGATCTACAAAAAAAACCCTGCCCGACCGTTCAGTCCCACCCGGGGTAAGCATCTCCACCAGGTAGGATATGGGCCTCTTTCGAAGCGTCGCCTAGGTACGAGTTGAAGAGATGCCAGGGTCCGTAGCCTGATAAGTAAGAATTACTTCAGTTCTCGAGTTTTGGGGTGACTATGCTCTTACCATGTAGGTTCCCGGGAAACTCAGTCCGGAGGGCACCAAAGAAGCGCCACCACTTACCATCGACCACATGTAGACGAAGTCAATTATAAAAAAGATAGTTGAAATATATACCTGTAAGCTGTATGGATACTGCAAATAAGGAACTGTACTGTCAGGTTGTATGACTCCGGCGATACGGGGCATATTATTTACATGGATAGAACTGAGCTTCGCCCCCCACCATCCAGGGTGAGGTTCTCGTGTCCTAACAAGTAGCGGCCAGATTTGATATTCTTGGGAATAGTCACGTCATACGTGTAGTCATTCTTGGCTAGCGTGTCCAAAACCCACTCTGCATTCTCAAAGACGCTCTCTTAGAACTGCAATAGAAGATATTGAGATTCTATTCTATTCTATTGATACGATGGGCTTAGCTTGAATCGCGGAGACCCCGTATCGCCCTTGAATGTCGAAGAATCATCTGCGTCACATTTGGCCATGTAGTTGAGCACAGGACCATAACGTCCAGCGGCCAGGTGCTTTACAGGACCCGACCTGCTGTGATATTAGAGGATATGGGAGAATCGAATTCGGCGGGCAGCGAATGATGGCGCATTGTGGCTTGTGGGAGGTAAAACAGAGTTTCCAATAGAAAAAGCAATGTCTCTCGAAGTGACGTTAACGACGTAGCCAGAGTCCCGGACTATTAACAAATTAATAATTTATTGAAAGGTGCACAAGGCTCAAGCGCTCACCAGTTCCCTCCCACGAACAACGCGCAAAGGCTGAAAAGTCGGTATCATTTACTTCGGAGAATAAGGCAAGAACATCAGAGGAAAGGCCAGATTTGTGGCGTCGAGTAGAGGTCTGGAGGCGCTTTTTAGGGCGGCATACGAGATCTGTACGCGCAGACCTTTGCTATAACCCAACCTGGAATGAAATCGCTGCCGATTTTGAGAAGAGGGAAATAACCATGAGCAGATACGCCGGTAGCTGTCGCTACTGCCAGGAAGAAAACTGATAGAATCATGACAGACTGCGACCCTTGAGATGGATGTTGTCGAATGCATGATGGTTCACTTTTATAGTTAACGCTTTGCAAAGACGACAGTATTTGCGTTCGCCAACCAGTATACCGGTTACTTATTCGCGAAACTAGCGCCTGATATAGATAAGATACGGCTCGTTGCTTGAAAATACCGGAAGTTTTCATTCAACCAGGTCAAGTAGAAAGGTAGCCGACTTGTTGGAAAGGGACTAGGCATATGCTCGGAATTTGATGTATGATATTTTCCATGCGAGAACGAACAAGAGAGACGAGTGGATCCTACTTATCGTGAAGTAACACCTGAGTTTAAGCAAGACATGGGCCGGGAAATAGCATCTAAGCCGTAGTCTTTTAATTGCATGATACAAAGGAAGGGGATAACAAGATAGAGTCGTAGAAGAACATCCTGCATGGCGACAAAGAGTTACCGGCGGAATGTCCGAAGTCAGAATTTGGCTTTAATTGGCATCAACCTTCCGTATATGTCACGTGCTCGGTAGTTGCCGTAAAACTGTGCAGTTCCAGCCACCCATCTGCCCAATTCTGACCGTCACTGGCATCGACGTCCTCAAGAACAAGGTGAGATTTTTTTACTGGCTCGCTGATGGATTTATTGTCTAATACACTTTCCAGACTTAACTCGGTCCAAGTGAGTGCTTGTTCTGCGTTCAAGAAGAGACGGATTTTTTTCCGGGCTGCTACTTGGCTGTGGTATTGGTGCTGACCAGTATCGTCTTCCAGCTTCCGCAATGGCCCAACGTGTCACTCTCCGCAAAAGACAACCCTACAACACCACCTCGAACCGCCGACGCGTTGTAAAGACCCCCGGTGGAAAACTCGTTTACCACCATCTCAAAAAGCCTGCGACAGCGCCCAAGTGCGGTGACTGCGGTATCGCCCTCCCTGGTGTATGTTTTCTTGTCGGTGTGGAATAGCAAAGTAATCATTCAATTATTCTTTCTAGGTCCCTGCTTTGAGGCCTCGCCAGTACGCTACGATTTCCAAGCGCCAAAAGACTGTGCGCCGGGCATATGGTGGTTCGAGATGCGGAGAATGTGTCAAATCACGGTGCGTTGTGCTACTTTGGCATTGGATTGCCTGGTCTCATGGTTTCTATCATTCGTTCCTTAGGATTCTCCGGGCATTCTTGGTTGAGGAGGCCAAGATTGTTAAGAGGGTGATCAAGTCGCAGCAAAAGAAGTAAACGGTCCGGATGGTTGACGTTTCATTTCTCCTTTGCCTCCGCTATCCCCTACCGTTACCTCTATGATTGCATGTACTATCGTTATGGCAAATACAGACCGAGAGGTCAATAGGCGGTATACTTTTCCCATTCAGCCAGCTTCTATCGTTGGAGTTCAACCAATTGGCAGGGCATGATTTATCATTCTCACAGCTCTTGGAGTTTCTTCTCATGCCGCCCTGGCAATTATACAACCTTGTCTGACTAAAGCCCGTTAAACACCTCCGTTCGGGTCAATACAAGCTTCACATGAATTTCTTCTCGCGAATGTCTCTCCAGGTCCCCTGGCAAACCTCAGGTACGGTCTAGTGTTCGTCGCTAGGCTCTCATGCATCGCAACAGACTTCTCACCGTCTGGAAATTCTGTGTAACCGACGAGTCGAAAGGAACTCTCAAATGGAAAAGCGTACGGACAATTAGGTGTCTGTCAGTGAAGAATAACCTCTCCGTTGACCCTGTAAGTTGTAGTAGGTTGTACCCACTGATGAATACTTACTCGTGTCAGCCGACTAGCCTATTTGCGCGGATGCAATGGTCCCCTCCACCCTCCGAACAAGAATCGACCCTGTAAAGGATATCCCGGTTGAAAGGTAGTACCACAACATAATAGAACGTCATACAGGGTCGTATGATATCGTCGGAGAAGCGATTCTTGTTCTGGTATCAATACATCGGCCAGGGTTGGTTTGGACGACTGCTTAGTACTGACCGAGTACGGCGCGCAGGCCGACACTAATCACGTGATGGTGGCATAGATGGTGTAGGTACTTGGCCGTATTCTTTGGGAGATTTGGGGAATTAAAAATTTGTGAAAGCAAGGCGGTTGTCATCATGCCTACGAGGCATCTTTCCTTGAGGTGAAGATCCGAGAGGGACCCTCCTCTCGCGCGTTGCTATACGCCACCTTGACGAGCATTGGATGGCCATAGAGAAGTTGGCCGGGCTGGCCCTGTAGCCGAGGAACGGGGCTACAAACTGCAAGTGATAATTTTCCAGACTCCACAAAAACAATGCCCTACAGAAAATCTGGTGGTAGCCCATCTTTCCTATTTCCCATCGGACCGAAGATAGTCCAAGCACAGAGACCGTACAAGGGTCCAACAAGCACCGAATCGTTCTCTAGTCTCTGTAACTCCCCAGGTCGCCAAATGTACCCAACCTTCTCGGGACGATCGCCTTTAGGAAGACCCTCTTTCCAACCTGTCAAAGAAAAAAGTCGCACACTTTGGCCCTGGGTCCGAGTTGGGCAAATTTGTATCTTGCTTGAAACATTTACACGCGCGAAGATAGACAATCGGCCCGTGTGTATTGTTCCCTGGAGAAAAGAGGTATTCGTCCTAAGTATACTTACTTCCACAAGGGATCCCTTCGGAGCGCGTGTGATACATGCACGAGGGCATTCCATTCCACAGCTATAGCCTCAAAGATCCTTAGACATCGGATGATCCACAAATTGCCCGTCTAGACTCGGAAGACATGGTAGTTCGAAGATCTCGTGGATGTGAAGACTGGTACGGGTGCAGACTAGACGACACTGTACCCGTTCCCCCGTTAGGGAGGCTCAGCACGTTGAAGGTTACGTCTTTGATGCTGGCAGCTGGCCAGTAATTGAAGTTGCCATTAACGAGGACTTCTTGGGGGATCGTCGACAGGCGATGATAGCCGGGGTGATAATACATGGGTTTTTGGGTGGAACAGAGTAGATAGATAATGTTTTGCGTCGCATATACACATTTCACCTATCTATATCTACAATTAGATCGTGTGAGGCTTACTTGCGAATCGAGCGGTAGTAAGATGAAGCAACAAGCACGCACCCAGTGCACTAGCGTTAATGCCTATGATGACTTTGTCTTCTTCTTCTTCTTTTCCTCCTCGGCTCTCCTCTCTTTGTCAGCCAAGACTTTGGCTACTTCGTGAGCGGCGTCGTTCAGTCCAAGTCTGTTCCTGGAGATCTAGACAAAGTTGATGCAACCAAGTAAAAAAAAGATTTAGAGCACGACAAAGACACGACACCCACTTCGATGGCGTAGAACTGAGGTGTTCGATCAAAAGGGAGCTATAGAGGATTGAACGGAGACTTACTTGTATACGGGTTACTGGAGAGACGTAGGGAAAAATAAGAAAATGGGTACAATCCCCGTAGATCTGTCTCACCGAAAATCGTGTTCCTCTCGCCATATTCTTCCCGAGCGTCCGTCCGGATGAGCGAGCCAAAATTGTAGTCCTTGACCTTCTTTTCATATCTGCGACAAGTTATTGACATTGACACGGACACGAGGAAGCAGCTGCGCACGTTTGCATAAAGGCTCGCCAGCGGCCCTTGCCTTCTTCGCTCTTCATCCAATCCTCGTCGAGCTTGGTCAGTTTGTCATACGGCTCCGAAGCCATCTCGGGGAAGGCCTTGAGGGTGTGTTCGAATATCTCATCATCGAGTCTGTTTTGAGGAGATGTCTAATCACTGAGAACGATAATCGATTGCGACGGTGCGTACTTGGTGAGACGAAGCTGCCGTGGTGGGACCTTTTCGAGGAGTTTCCAGTATGTCTGCGGCGCGAACGTGGCATTCGATCTGTGGTCAAGCACAGGGAAGAAGAGAGCATAGCTTACCTGGGCCTGCTCGACGGCTTTGACAGCGAACCTGTTACCATTGAATCCTCAACGACCTCCTAGCGTGCTTGTTCTGGTACTCACTGTTTTTCGATCTAACGCCCCCCGTTGATTAATTAATAGTCATTATGCAGTGAAGCATGTTTTCAACACACCTCAATGAGATTCTGTGCGTTCTGCGGGTCAAATTTCCCTGCCATTTGTGTTGTCGCTTGAGTACGCGTTGAGGTGGTGGTAGATGTGGTCCAACTGACGATGATACGTGGAAGTGAGTATTACCGCCAAAAACTCGGACAATTCGCATTGTCACACGTTCTTCATTACGATGCGCAGAGGATACTAGACAGTGTACGGAAAATGAACAGCTGGATTACTGAGTACTGATCGTCATAGTAGTAGATTAGGGGTAGTAATGAATGATAAGATTCCAGTATAAGATGTAATGGCATCATCCAATGCCAAATCGTTTTAATTTTTCAAAGTATTTTTGCACTCGACTCGCCACTTGACGTGGCGTTCGTCTGTTGTCCATCGCCTGCGATATCTTCTTCCACCTGTACCAAAGGAAGTATATCATCAACGACAACAAGAACCCAAAAATACAATAGTCCGTACCGATTTTTCTCCCCTTCTGGAATTTCATCCAGTAGCCGCTCTAGGAGGTGCTGCTCTGACACTGACCAGGCCTGGTTGTATGTCTCGGGCTTCGGTTTACCTGGACCACGGGTTCGTTTCCCCAACGAGGGTTTCGCAGACGGGTCTGGTGCGAGATCACGCTTGGGGTTGGGCGGTTTCCGCCGGGACTCCGGCAAGGGATCAGAAGCGAGATTATCGCAGTCCAGATCGCCGCCACCGCCGCCGCCGCCATCCATTTGTATTTTTACAGTGGGACGGCGCACCCGAGACACCTTGCGGGTGTGCACTGATAACGGTGGTATGATAATCGTCGGTTTTGTAAGTAAAGGCGCGGAATCATCCAGCGAGATATCCACATCCATACTTTCATCTTCAACATCACGGCGAATGAAAACACCGGGGCCAATGGGGACACGCGATGAAGACACCGTCAACCCTGAGGAAGTCGTGATCTTACGCTGCTTCAATTCGCGTATTTTGTCCCTCTCCAGGTTTCTCTTGATCTCGGCGTGGCTCGCGTGCACTTGGGCCGTTTCAATGACTTCTGGGTTCCAGGACAGGTCGAGCTGCTGGAATATAGGGTCCAGAATGGTCTGTCGAGCCTCCTTCACATACTTCTGCAGATCAGATAACTCAGAATGCTGCCTGGTATAGGGTGTATTCCGCTGATCATGAGTCATGCGAGCCGTGCAGGCCATGTTTTGGAAAGGCGAAGGGTCTGCTGACCAGGCGTAAACATTTATACGACATTAAACCTAAAAACACACGAACCATGGTGATCGTACATCGACCAATCAATATGTAGCGGTGCTCCGGCATGATCCTCCGCTAGGGCACTTAGTTTGAACGACCTGTCATTCAGCTTTCCCAAGGTTAGAACCGAAGCCAGATGATAGGACGGAGGTACGGCCCACCTCCTCCGCTAGCTTAGCCACGACAGTCGTTGGGTTTGAACATGCCTTTTTCTGTAGTTCGTGCAGTCGTTCGATATCAGAATGGGTGCGAGCAAGCAATTCTTTTTGGCTGGCAATGTAACTGGACAGTGCCTGGAGGCTGTCATATACGAATTAGATTAGTGCCCTTTCACCGCGCGCAGCAGCCTGACATACGTTTGGGCACGCTTGTCTTCCATTGATAGCGAGTCATTGGGTGAGAAAACGGCGCCAAGGATGTAGAAGCAAGGCTGGCAGAGAGGAGGAAAGAAAAGTCAGGAGGCAGGTGAGGTGACGCAAAATTCGAATTTGTCGGAGGAACAGCGAAACATGCGCAAATAGGTGCCACGGACGCGTCAACTGTACCACTACGGCCCTGGACCTCCGCGACGCGTAGATGGATGACGACGATGACAGAAGCACTGTCGAGCACGCCGAAGGCGAGGAGCCACTCACAAGGCGCGATATCCTTGGACCGGTCGTCAAACGTGTCGTCGATGCGCTCGGTGGGTACGAAGGCGATGTATACAGGCTCGGCGACGAGGCCTATGGGTGTCTGAAGGACCTCAAGAGGCTCTGGCGGAAGGACGACACTGACGATGAGCGCACCGTAGCCCGTCTTTTCTGGGAGACGCGCGTCCTGACGAACGACATCATACCCATACTTCTCGAAACGGCGGGCAAAGGCCTCGTCGAGGACAAGCAAGCAATAGCCTGCGCTGACCTCCTAACGGCAATGACCTGGCCTATCGATATGGCTGAGGAGCTCAAGGAGCTCGACGAAGAACTCGATAAGGGTACCGACTACACTCAGCTGCTTCAAAGCCATCTGCACTACAAAGCAGCGCTCCTCAAGCCCGGCGTGATACAGGCGCTCTTTGGCATATTACTTCCACCGCTCGCCAAACAGCAGAAAGAACGCACAGCCCGCGATGGACAAATCGTGCATGTCGTGCTCTATTTCTTCCGGAATCTAGCCTTCATCAAGGACCTACCCATTAACATGCACCTCAGCTCGGACCAAGCCGAGTTCTCCGCTATGCAGACGAAGCTCGTTCATGTCATGTCAGAAACACATGCATTCGAGCTCCTCTTCACCATTGCTTCCAATACAGGCAACGACCCTCTCTTCAATACCTGGAATACTCTCGTCCTCGAGATCTTCTACCTCTTACTTCGAGGCACCAAACCTACGTCGCTCACTCTGGATCCCGCGAAGGTTTATCTTTGCCTTCCTTCGACGTCTATATGATCCTCTCTAACGCCTTCGTAGCAACCCCAAGAAAACCTCCGCCGGCTCCTGGCCACTGAAGACCGTAGAAAGAAAGAGATAGCTCGCAAGGCATCATCACGTCATTCACGCTTCGGAACCACAATAGCCGTTTCCCTAAACCCCAACAAGAAACCCAAGCCGGCGGAGGACGCGGGTAACGAAGCTGACGTCGAGTCCTCGAAGAGCCAGCCCTTCGTCCTCCATCGCCAACAGGCCATCAAAGAATCCACGGGTACTATTTGGGACATGAAAAAAAAGCAAAAGAAGAAGCGAGACAAGGTCGTCGACGAACTCAGTCGAACAGATAATCTGTCGTCAGAAGCGAAGATAATACTGCGGCAGTTCGCCGTCAACTTCTTGGACGGCTGCTTTAACTGTGGGTGCAATTGCTGTCTATCTACATGGCAGTACTTTAAAATTTTACTTATTCGCATTGATAGCATTCTTGTCTACGTTGATCAGGGATATTCGGTCTGAACGGGCAAAGATCACGGACAAGGACAATCTTCGTTTACTGTACGTTACGAAATGGTTCCTCGAGTTCTTTTTGGCCATGCGAGCGAAGGAGAAGGACAAGGGGGGATGCGGTTTTGATCTCGTTGCTGAGGTTACGGAACGGACCTGGATCGTCTGGGTGTTGAAGCGGATGAGGGAGGCCAACGAGGAAAAAGTCCGTTCGGTCTCCACCTTGTTCTTGTCGCCAGGTTCTTGTGTTGATTCGATTCCCACTCTAGCCGAAACTGTGGACGGAATTGCAAGCCGGAATCGAATGCCTCACGCAGTTGCTGCTATTGATCGACGATATGGCGTCGTCCGATATCACGGATCCGGTGCTGAACGAGGCAGCCGATATACTGCAGCAACAGTTGATCTACAACGGAGAAGTGTTGGACATTGCGTTTGAAAGTCTTCGAACGTACAAGGAGGGCACCCAGTCCTTGGCGTATCTCGATTCGAGTGTATATCTTGGATACTCGCTCCTGAAAATGCTTGAGCGTTGGGGGAAGAAGAAGTCGGGGGAAATGTATGTTCGCAAGAAGAAATCGAAAAGGAAGAGGAAAGGTCTGTTGCTGTCGCTCTCATAATTGACTCTGGAACCGATGGCACACCCACCTTAGGAGATGTCCCGGACGTCGAGGACGAAGAAGTCGAAGAGGAGGAAGTAATCCATGAAACTATGTTCACTTTCGAAGCATTTGAGATGGTAAGATGATGATGATTAGACCACCCATGATCTGAGAGCTGACTGATCCCCTCAGAAATTCGCCCACACAGATGTTAACCATACCCTTCTGACGTATCTATCGCGATACAAAGACTTTAGCTCGTCAGAGCATATGAAACGGGTGGTTAGCCTTCTACACCGCCAAGCTGTTAGAACCAAAGCAGAAGGACTATTCTTCAAGGTTTGGGACTTTGTTTCTTTGGTGTTCATGCCCGAGAGTCCTGGACCATTTTCTTGTTACAGGTATCAACGCTCGATCTGTTCAAAACCATTCTAGCCGATCAACGGTCTTTTGCGCGAGAGCAGCCCTATAAAGATTTAATTAATCTCATAAACTTCATTCTGCGACGTTTCTTCAAGGCCCTCGACGAATACCCTTTTTTGGCAATCGAGGTACGCGTGGATTTCATTTCAGAGATTTGAAAGAGCGCGAGCCTGACAGCTTCCGTGCGATAGGCTTTCTTTCCTAAGAACCGTGGTCATTGGAAGGTGTTCTCCAGTTATGAGCCAGAAAGTGCGATGACCAAGGAGCGAGCACAGGGACAGGACGAGGACCCGAGGGTCCCGCCTGACGTTCATGTTAAGGAAGGACATTCATGGAGTGAAGAGGTTGGTATCGTTGTGGCTGTGCTGGTTGATGCCGGCCAAGAAGAATGGGTGGACTGGACGAAAGAGGTGGGCGCTTTCGCATCCTTCGCCTACGTGGAGTTTTAAAAAAATGCCCGACTTCCCAAGATTCTCACGACAGCTATCGCCCAGCGCGAAAAAATTATCGAGGAGACTGATGCTAGAGACGACGATGCGGACGATGAGGATAACAGACTTGCCGTAAACCTTGACGCACCGTCATCAGAAGCACTTGCCAAAATGCAAGATTATCGTCAGTGCTTATAATTCATCCTTTCTATCAATAATTTTTGACGGTAGTGAATCTCATCGCTAGGGATACCATGTACCAAAGATGAGCATGCGAACGCAGTCACGAAGAATGCTCAACTCAAGCTTCTATTCCGATTGTGCAAGTTTTATATTGAAAACGAAGGTATGACAGATTGATTTGTGTCGAATGCCCCTGGTACTCAGCGCTCCCCACGATGTAGATGCGGACGAACTAGAGTGGTATATTCCGGCGGCCATAAGTCCCCTTGAGCTGCGTCGAACTCTGACAGTCATCAATCAATTCTTGGAGTCTCCAATTGATTTGAACGGCAAAAGGGCTAGCCAACTTCTGGCGAAGACACGCCGGAGGCGGCGGAAGACCCGTGCGCAAGATTCTGACCAGGAAGATGTGGAAGCAAGTGATGAGGAGGAGCCTCGACGTCGGAAGAAGACGGAGAGGAAGAAGAAGGAAGAACAGCAGTACAAATCGGCACAATTCATTGACGATAGTGACGAGGAGTATGGCGATATGGAAGCGTTCTTGGCTCAGGAGAAGGTGCGACGGGAGAAAGCTGCAAGAAATCCCGCTGCGTTGGGAGAGGGGAGAAGCGGCGCGATGAAGTCTCATGGCACAAAGAAGCGTCGAAAAAAAGCTGGGGATAAGGGTGACAAGAAAAGACGGAAAGGAGAGACAGACGATATGGCTGTGGTTGTGTTGTCTGATGAAGTGAACTCGGACCTGGATACTGACATCGAGGTGGAGGAAGGGTGGAATTCGACAGGCGCTGATGAGCAACCTCAGCCTCCACCTGCACTACCGAAGCCTAAGCCCATCTACAAACCCAGGGCCTCGGACATCACGCCGTTATCTTCGGCGGTACATGAGAAAGGAGATCATCAGACTCAGACTATCTCTAAGCGACCGGAGCAGGAGCCGACAGGTCCGCCGTCACTGCCTACGAGGAGGAAAGGGCGCCTGATTGTTTCGGATGAGGACGAGTAATCATTGTGGGCTATATTCTGTGTACTTATTTTTTTTGTCCTAAGTTAATTTTATGTCTATCTTTCGGGGAGAAGCAGCTTCAGTGGGAAGGAACCTCGCGTAGATGATGAAGGTTGCGTTTCCTTTTCCGGAGGACAGGATATACGCTGAGAAACACACCCAAGAAGCCCAATTTTCCCTCGATAGACGGGCCAAAGTTGTCATGTTGAATGATTAACACGCCTAGTATCCCAGGCTGAGATAGGCCGCCAAAGTTCATTCTCGCCACATAGGTAAACTGGGAGCATTCAGCGGCGTGCTTTGAAAACTCCGGACCCCTCTATTAGGTTTTTTTCTGCATCGTGGCTGCGGGCTTGGCCTGATTCTTTCTTTCTTGTTTAGTGTCACCGTAAGGTCTGTTTTTTTTTGCGCTCCATCCAAATTTAGGGTCCCACCTGCCAAACTCTAGATTGTCGACGCCACTCTCGATGACTGAGAGCACCCGTGTCCTCCGCACTAAATGGAGGACGGGGCGACCGAGTTATTTGTGAACTTGACCCGTGAACGGTCTAGAGATTTTTTTTTTGCGATCGGACAGAGGGTGTGGGGAGGGGGGGAGGAGGGGAGACGCGACGAACGGGGAGCCGTCGCGGGCGCGATAAGTCCGGCGCTTAGAACTGACGTCTCGTTCTCGTCTCTTCAAAAAAAAATAGAGATATATGTTCGCAGCGGGGTATTTTCAAATTTGGGCCGACGCGACTTCTCTTTAACCGTCGGAAGCGCAGACTCTCCAGCTACTGTTGTTGTGGGTCGTTACCCCCCGGAGAATATTCCCCCCCTTTCGCAGGCGGACTGCCATCTGTCCTTCAACAGGCCTCGCCAGTCCTCACGACGATGACGTCTTGCACGATCGTTTATAGCCTATGGCCCTGGGCTCGACCGACCGTTGAGTCTACGCAGCGTCTACGGATTCATATTGGCTGGGTGTAATACAGGATTCTGTATCAATGAATGGCCCTTCATTTCCAACCGTAATCAATCTAGCCACGCGCCTACCATATCAGTGATTGGCCCCAGAAATTGTCCGATCACCACTCTGATTTCAGAACAAAACAGATATGATGATGACGCTCGTTCGGTGTTTCATGGGCTTTGGACGACTTTATTCGAACTGGCAATTGCATCCTCGTGTGGAAAGGTCATGCGCCCCCACCCCACCCCTCCTCCCCCCCCTTCCCCGTCGCCACCGCAAAATACGCGCCTTTTTTTGCATACGGGAGGACGGGCGACTTGGACCCCCTGACTTGAATCGTACCCCTGAGATTGGCGTGCAAGCTACTTTGGTGGCCCTTAGTTTCCAAGCTCCGGCATGGCCTATTTTCCTCGGTGATGGCCGACCCTGTGCACCCTGTGGGCTGCGTTTTCTCCGAATACATTGGAGGGGAAAAGAGTAATTATTAATAGAGTACGAAGACGCTTGGCATGTGTTCGCCTGCTAGGCATTGCCGCTTTGAGGACATGCGAGGACGTCAGTCAGCAGGGGGGGGAGGGGACAATTATAGGAGGGGGACTGGGACGCGTACCGCATTCAATTCAAGCTTTTCCTACAAGGAGGATGGCGTCAGTGTGCTATTAGTACCTCAGGTCTATCATTATAGTTTTTTTCTACACGGTTAGCCTGCCGCCTGTCCTCCTGAATGAATGTCAACCATCTGCCGTGCCTATGGTAGGTGTTCTCCCGCTCAATCGTGGCCCCGTTCTTATACCTACTGCACATTAGTGTCTGATCTGAGCATGGCGGGTTCCCAGTACTGCGCTCTGATGGAAAGCGAGATTGATGAATTGAAAGGAGACCGATGGGGGAGGGGGGCTGAGTCAACCCCCTCCTCTCCCACTTTGTATCCATCGTCTTCCATTTGGAGAATAACAACACGCCGCCTTGTTTTCTCCGGGCGATCCTACATATTCGGTAAGGGCTGGAGTATGTTGTGGCTCGCCTAAATCGATACACTATATCGGCGTTCATACAAGCCATCGGTACAAAAAAGAGAGAAAAAAAAAAGAAAAACAGGATACATTCAAGTCCCTTGTCGGTACTGACATTATTGCACGGTCACGATGGCCTTCTGACGTGCGGGGCTTCGAATGCATGCACTGATAAATATATCTCAGGCTCGCAAGTCGCTGATGGTTAACAGTACCCATATATTGACCTCATTGTAGATGGATGGAGTCGGAGAAGGCCGGTGTCAGCTAGAGAAACTCAGAGTCAGAGTTTGTGGTACGCTCGGGAGGGGAAAGCGCTGAGTTTTGCGACCGTTCAACACGGACATTGGTCAGCGCCATCACCGAGGCGGGGGAAGGAGAGCAATTGTGGTGGAAATGAAAGCATCTCAGAAATTCGCAGTAGGGCCTTCATATGTCGACCAAGAATTCGGAACAATGCGACGTGATCCATTTTTTACTGGATGGATGAATGTTGATTACTTTATATGATTTATTTGCAGAAATACAAGTGTGACGTCCATGGATCCGAGGACGTGCTGGGTGACGCGTCGACGATAGGCAGGGGGGAAGCAAGCATGCTCGCAGAGAGCGACACGCCACAAAACCATTGGGACGAATGACGCATTCCGCGCTCGTCAGCAGGCAGACTAGGTGAATCTAAGATCCCAGATGCAGATACGAAGTCGCGGAGTTCAAGCGGAGTCGGGGATTAAATTAGGCGGAGACAGCCGGACTGGATACAAACCAAAACAAAATTGGACAAACGGAAGCATTTGGAATGATCCCCGATCAAGCACGGTGCAGGCCAGGCACGACGACGCCCGTGTCCGAATCAGTCAGATAGAAAAAAGAACTTGCAACTGCCGGGCTGCCGGAATATGTCAGCTCTCCACGGGTGTGCATGGCAAATCTGCAAAATGGACCAGGTCTCCAGGAGAGATCAATCCACCGAATTAGCTCATATGAAATCAGGGAGACGAGTCCGAGTTTATTCACCAAACGCAGAAGATCGAACCTCCTGAAACTCCAATCTTTTCGAAATTTCGACGAGATTTGTCTCCGTTTGAGTGGATATCTTCTTTACCCAGGAAACGGCTCAGGGTCATCCTGTATTGGGCCCTCGGCTGATCGAAGAAAGCGAATAAGCCGTGCCAGTGAAATTTCGACATACAGTTCAAATCAATCGAAAATGGAATCCTCTAAAGCAGGTTCAAGGGTGGGGCGGTAGCCTCTTTTTCATTGATATAAAGGTACTCCATTCCACTTCACATCTGACCTCGAACGCTGTTCCCCCCAACTTTACGTTACTCCCCTGATGTCCTCTCTCTCCGGTCATACGGCACACACAGAACGCCCTGAGCGAAGCCGTAATGCGAAGGCTCAAGCTCGCCATCGAGCTAAGCGAAAGGCTTACATTGAACAGGTCTGTTTGTCCGTACCTCTTGCTCCCCGACCCCGACCCTCACCCCCACCCTCCCAATTTCTAGCTCGAGCAGACCGTGACCAAGCTCCAGACTGCGCTTGGCGTATCCCCCGACCAGGTCGCTGCCCTCCCGCCGCCGCTCATCAAAATTCGTGAACTCGAGCAAGAGAACGGCCGACTGCACAAAGAAAACGAAGAGCTCCGCCGTATGATTTCCGACACATCCGCCGGCCGTCCTCTCCCTCTCGAGGTCACGCGGCGGACCGTCTCGCACGACTCGCGGAATATGGATCGGGACTTTAAGCGAAGAAAAGCGGACATGGACGACCAAGTCTATATGGTACGTCGCGACTTTCTCGCCGCTAACCCCGCCGCCCCGCTCACCGTCCCGCCAGGACGCGCCCACACATATGAATGACCTCCGACCGCCGCCTCCGTTGACGATACCACACGGCTCCCAATACGGGAACGTGTCCTCACACAACTCGGGGACCAATTCGCTCTATAGCATCAACACCCCTACGTTCCAGATGCCCAACACCCCCTCGGGCTCGAGCGCAACATCCAGTCCCCCTTTTTCGGCGAGTGCTATTCCCTTTTACCACTCCCCGGCTCTGCTGTAGCCCACCGTTACCGAGGGAGGGCTTTGGACCGTATAATGACATTCTTTTGTCTTACCCCCACAGCCTGCACAAATGCATCCGTCGAACTCTCCAGTGAATCCTCGTCCTCCACTTTCTTCTCATCAAGGTCTTTCAAATCACTCAAACGGGGGCGGGCACTATGGGGCCGTTAAAGTGGAAGATGAAAATTACGCGGTAAGTTTGTGATTTCTTCTGGCTTTGCGTGCGTTTATTGTCTGGACTGGACTGACATCTCATCTTCGCGCGCAGGCCCACCACACTTCGCACACGGCGAATCATTATTCGAACCCTCTTCCGTCATTCTATTCTCAGCCAGACCACGGGATGGACACTTGGCACTCATACTCCTCTGAACGAGCTCCCATCCATCGTTGATCGTCTTGCTGAACTGTGTTTTATATAAACATTCTGTATATTTACTCGTATTTTACTCGTGTTGTTGTAGAGCATGCATACCCCGCTGTCGTTGCCATGGATTCCTTGGAAATACCTACATACCTATATTCTCCTCCTTGAATATACCTCGTTTACCCTCCCTGTCTCTTAGTTTTTGATTTCATCACCATCATAGTTCAGCAACAGTGAAGATTCCGATCGCAAGATGTCGGCAACATTATGGCACCTGATATCGATAATCGAAGATGGAAGGAAAGGTTCGAGAGAAAATCTCGTAAGAGGTAGATCATTCTGCGATCGGTGTGGTGATCCATTACGAGAACCGAGTCGTTTAGCTTTTGGAAATAGTACAAAAGCCAGCCGTTGACTGACTGCTAGGTGAGTGAGTGGTACAGTCTCTCAAACGTATGCATCATGGTATTTTCGGGGTCATCGTCAGGTTCGGAAATCTTTCCCCTCAAAATGTTTGGCCCATAACCCCAAAGTACGCTGTATTTTCAATTTACTTTGTCACCCGTCTATTTTCGTTTCCCTAACCGCGTGCCAGTATTAATTCTGCTATAGTACTGCTAAGACGCATTCCCAAGGCCCACGAGTTTTAAATTGTTCCTGTCAGAATGTACAGGTCCGAATCCTGGTTGAGATTTCTCAGATTGGCGTGCTGGCATAAAGTAGCCAAAAGACGTCAGAGATAGGGGGACGTGATTCGGAAGCCGGGGAAAATATGTCAAATCCTACAACGGTCCAGGCAAAGGAAATTGCAAGTCAGGATGAGTTCCCTGATCATATCAAAACGAACCTGAGTCCGAGTATACTCGAATAAGAAGTCCTCGAGTCACTTAAAGGCAAAATGGGTATACAACTCTGTTCCGATATCCATGAAGCTCGGTCTTTCCCCCTAGCGACTCAGGCCATCTGTTTACTTCTGCACAAGAGTTCTTTGCGACTACACTACCAGTGATGCGAGGAGGATTTTAAATTCTCCGAACTGTCAACCTCCAGTTCGACGCTCGCACTCGCGAGCGGGGAAATGTCCCGGACACAGCCACTACCCCAAGCCAACTTTTTTCCTTTGTTATCGGATAGAAAAACGATGAAATATTCGGAGAGCTCCGCATCGATGGTAAGAAAAATCTTCAGTTGTTCCGCTCCCGTTTGTGAGCAGAATCTGTTTCGGCGATACTCGGGGTTCTTGTGATTTTTTGATAATCTTTTGTAGGAGATGGCAACCCCGTACGTCTGCTTGACTTTACTCCGACCCTGTTTAACCTCGCTCAGGCTTAAAAATCGTGTTGATCTATGTGATCTAAACTATTTATTCTTGCACATTTCGAAACGAACATTGCAGCAATGACAAGACAAAGACAATATCGCCACAGCGAAGCACTGACTTGGTCTCAGTATACAAAGCCATAAAAGGCCGAGTGGCACGATCACGGGTCCAAACCGCCGATCCTTTGTCTGACATGGCTACTAGTATTGACCAACGTTACAAGTCTTCTTCAATGCCACCCGGGTGCTCTGCCTATACTCAAACACAGACACCATGTCGCCCCAACTGCATGAAGCTGCAAGGCCTGATCAGCCCGCCATCTCATCAAGACCCGCGTCCCCGGAACCATCATCATCAACTTCCAGCGCCCACGATTCATCTTCATCAACATTCCCCACGCGAAGCGCGAAGAATGACGCCCCTGAAAGCAGCAAGAAGCCAGCCGCTGCGAAGCCCAGAATTATTAAAACGCCTCCCACTTTGCGAAGATGCCTCATAGAGGCAAATACAGCTGTCATGACGGAAACGGTAGACTTCGAAAGTGTGTTCATACATTACCAGTAATATTTTGATGCGGACTTGACCGTGATCGACAGGCCTCTCGTATCACGACCTCGATGGAAGTATACTAAGCCCGGCTCATGTTCTCGACGCGCTAAATTCGCCTTATATTCATTACCACCTCTGGGTTGCTGTGAAGATGTCGCTAGATGACCAGTGAGTTGATTATACAGCCGATGAGATCGATGAAAGACTTATTAATTGCCACCTGCAGCGATAAACGCCAGATGAAGGCGCCCGACATGCATGCGGCTGTTTTAGAGCGTCTAGTCAGTTTTTTTTGGCGAGGTCTCTGCGATATTTGGGGGGGTTTTGATGATTACCCTATAGATCGTTGAACTCGGAAAATCAATGATGGATAGAGCCCCAGGTCCACATATCACCTTTGTCGACCCGCGCTGGCACGGTAGTGCTCCCATGATGTTGAGGAATGCCATACGACTGATTGATATGTTCGAGGAAAGCGGATTTAGCAGGGACTCTATCGTCGTCACTGTAAGTGTCATATCGTTATCTACGGAGATTGTCTATAGCGAAGACTTCTCACCAGAAGTTTTAAGATCCCTGCAACGGAAGAAGGAATCTTGGCTTCGAATCACCTCGAGCGCAAGTGCCATATTCTTACTAATTTAGACCTTGTTGGAACGCTATCCCACGCAGCGGCTTGTGCCCAGTCTGGAGCGAACCTTGTTTCAATTGCGGTCGGCCCTGTAAGTCGCGAGAAGATCATAGCTTATACATCCCATGGCGCTGATGCAATAACGCCATTAGCTATTAGATTGGTATGAGGGGAGGCGGAAGGCCAAATATCAGGATATCAGAACGCATCCCGGAATTGAGCACATTCAGGCCACTGCCGTGTATTTCAAACTCCACAAACACACCACGAGACTGGTTGGCACAAGCTTTCGAACGGTAAGCGAATAGTTGATGTCTACCTTCCTCTTTCACTGAAATAACGCATGCATTCAGCTGCAAGAGCTAGGCCCTCTCGGTTGCCTGGACGCTATTGTAATTTCAAAAGACAACGTTGAACAGTTGAATGGGCGCCCGTTCCCACTCATCCAGTCTGTCCCCAAAACGTCAACTGCGTATACCTATGCAGAAGAGGTACCTAAAGGTACAGCTTTCAAAGGAAAGAAATCCGAGTTCATTTCGTTTCTCTCTGAGAATGACAGAAGCGCCATCGCTGGGACAATGCACACAACTCTGAGAAAACTAAAGATAAAGATGGAGGAGATTGATGAAGAGATTCACAAAGAGCTGTCGAAGCAGCATACATTACGATCTCCAGAGAATGAACCCGAAGTGACTTGGTTGAAGGAAGAGAACCCTCAGTGCTCGAAGAGCACTGCCGAATCTCCTGAAAAATCTGACCGCACCAGTGACAAGGAGACCGAGAGCACCGAGGAAGACGAGGGACACGGCAAAGGAGAACAAGACCCAAGAAGACAGGAACCCCAATATTGAATCGAAGGACCGGCAAGAACAGTCGAGGCTGTAGATTGCTTTTGATATTGCTGGTACTGAGATGTATCAACGGGAAATTTTGAAGTAGTGAATATAAATAAAGCCTATGAATAAATACCATTATTTAATCAATGCTAGGTCCGCAAAATCAACGGATTGCGTCCAAATTTATTCACTCTTACAACGGAGTCAGGTACAGGGAAAGTGGATTGGACATAACTATGGTTCTCGTTGCGAGGATCGAAATAATAACACCGAAAGTGAGAAAGTGAGAGCTGGGCGAGCCGCCCGGCACTGTCATTGGGATTTTGCAACACCTAATCAATTGAACACTTCTCCCGTTGAGGTGATAATCACAAAGTTTAGAAATGTGGAGTGACAGAGATGATTATAAGGCGATGCAACGGCCACATGAGGCTTACGAAGGACAATCGAATGCCAGAGAGTGGCAACTCATATCCATGGACATGAATTCCAGATCGCCGTTCATGTTGTCTATCTCTTGCCGGATCGTACCGAAGTTAAGATAGGATGATACGGACGTTTTATTGATATGGATGGGAACGCGCCTTTATGACGCTCAAAGAACAGAACAACAGTGGAAAGTGATGGCCGCTTGTCCCAATAGGCGCCGTATGACGTTTTCTCTGGGTTTGTTGGCTATTAAGTTGAACGTCGCCGAAACAGACTCGCCGAGGGTCGAGGGAAGCCATACACTCGGAGAATACCGAGAGACAATTGTAGCGGTACTGTGGGTCGGTCGACACAGCGATTGTACCAGCTGACCGAGGTGAGGCGGCGCTAGAGTCAAACTTTGGGGCTATCATTAATTTGCCTGTTCTGCGTGGACCAAATGACCATTAGTACGGAGAGATCGTTCCAGGAATTCTAAAAATATAGAACCCTTCACTGAATGAAATGCAGGTGGAGGCGGTCCAACTAAAGGCGGACCCATTTTCACATTGATAGTAATAAATGAGTGTTCTGGTTCAGAACAATGAACTTGGTCCCAGCCGTATAAGAATATAACGCGGGAGTCTTGTCTGACAGATAAGGCCTTCTTGGTTCGCGTTACCAAAGCTGGGCTTGAAAGTACTCACGAAGACACGGTGACGGTCATATGATTGCATTAAACAGCTTTCTGTCGCTGACTTTGAATACTCTCTATCGCCAGAGATGTAACTGCGCTAGCTGTAAGTGCACCTATGGATGCCAAGATGTACCCTGCCAAGGCTCCAAAGGCAGGTGTTAACGGCCATGACTGATCATGGATGTTCAGATACAGAAATACAACCGATCGAGAAAGACAAACGCGCCTGCCATGGCCGATCCCAGTCGAGCGCGATGGGGACTGCACCGAGCCAACAGCCGACGATTGAGCCTACAGCAGGGTAGACGATGGCTCGCTCTACAGGCGTCCTTACGCTATCTCGGCCTCAGAACATCATTGTCGGTGGTAGATGACGAGACTCACGAAAACTCGGCGAAAAGCCTGACCCAAGTCATCCTAACGACCAGGGACTCTGTATCAGAAGATAGCGTGGGTGGTCCATAGGTATAGGCGGGCGTAAAGATGACGAGAATTGACAAGAAAAGCGCTAGAAGATAGGTCTGTAACGAGTGGCTTGATGCCAAAGTCATATTGTGATGCGAAATCGAGAACAAAATATAAAAAAACCTCAAGAGCGGAGACCCGAAAAGTACGAGTACGGCGTGTAATATGGCGGAGCTTGCGAGGGTCAGTGCCCACGCATTTCTGAGTGCCTGGTCAAAAAAAATAAGGTGATGTGCATCAGATGAACAATGCAACAGGCACTTACAGAAAGTTTACGGCTATTAAATGCCGCCTTCTGTACACGAGTATCGTCGCCAAATCCCGTCGAGGTATAGTCGAACCACCAATCTCTGATCCAGCCTCCCCACCAGCCCTGCAACACGACACTGCCAGCACACATACACGCGACCGTCATTGCTGGACTGATGGTCAGGGCCTCCAGAAAAGGATGCTGAGGCCTGTCACGCGACGTCAACTGGCTGATATCGATACTCCGTTGCGCCAACTCCGAGAGTATCTTTGTCCGCGGCAGAAAAAATGCGGTGAAGAGAAGTAATGTCGTGTGGACACCGACGACAGAGGTGTACCGAGCGAAAGGGAAAAATCCGACCTCGTTCCTTGGTACGCCACCGCTGTCTGGAACGTCGCTTGCGCCGTCGGGAGCCTTTTTTGCTGTCTTGGTTTTCTTTTTGGGCATCATGGGTGAGGGTAAGAGATTAAATTAAAAATGGTGAGATAAGATGACGTGTAATGATCAGATAAGATAAATCTTTTGGTGTCATTTTGCTTGCGTTAGTCTTTGTTTTCCTGTTCCCAAATCGTTTTCTGGCTCGGTGGTTATCTATGCACCGCCCGTCGACTACGAATATGGGTCTGTTATTGTCAAAGGGCCGCAGGGTTCCATCAGAAGGACTGTCATTGCTGCTCATTAATGTGATTCAAATTCCCCGTTTTTTTTTTCATTACTCCCGCTGGTATGCTCGTACACGGTATTCGCTGATTGCGGTTGGAGGCTTTTCCAAGCTGTCACTACTGCCCCGAAGGTCCCCGTTTGTTTGCCGCTGGAATAACAGGAAACGCCGACGATCGAACATGGAATCAGATGGTTCTGCGAGCATCGCCTAATCAACAAACCTTGCTGACTGACCTGCATCAGGCTGTCCCCAAAGTCCACTTCTCCCAAATCCGACGAAACTGCGGTGCCGCGACTTCTTTCCAAAAAATAGGCCCCCCTCGAAAAATAGCCCAATCGCCGGGGGCCACCGATAGCGTTCATTGTGTACCCCGGTACCCTCTTCGAGCTTCTTTCGATATCGCGGCCATTCAAAAAGTCGCCTCGAACGTTCGGCGATAATTGTTCTTCGACGTCTATTTGATCTATGGAGACTCTTCCTACCCCGTCGTGGGATAAACCCATGATCTCAATCTTTGTTTATAATGATGTTAACAGAGCGGCCAGCGCGCTATTCATCTTCAATCTTTTGCGGAGCATTCCCACAGGGTGGGTCCAGCATCCACTTCTAGTTGCAATGTTTCACCGAGACTTAATTCAGGTAACGTTCGTCCGAAACTTCGTCCCGGAATGTGGCTGGTCATCAGCATTCCCTCTACCCAATCACTCCAACTTGCAAGAATGCAATCAAAACACTATAATGGTCAACATGTTTGTCTGTATCCTGCCAGGAGTTTACAATGCTGCGAAATGTCCGTACCTGATGTTCGTCGCTAGTCTGTCTTCTTCGCTGTCGACGAAAATCCCTCCTAGTCCGGAGTTAACCGCCCAAATATCAAGGAAGCTATAGACGAAACGCAAAGCCCGTCTTGCGGGACTCTATCTTACTGCGGTCTCGGAATTCGCCCCCAAAGTCTGGTGACACGGGGTGTCTGGCCGAGACTACGCTTTTCGTATACACGGATCTTGCAACACCATTCATGGGTTTCAAGATTCTTGCTTGTGCAACGATCTTGTTGAGTAGTGAGTAGGGCTTAGGCGTGGCGCCAATACCTACTAGTCTTGTCGATCTATTTCCGGAATACCCGATAAAGGCACCGTGCTTGACGGCAAAAGTTGTTGCTATCAGGTACAGACAGGTTCAACTCCAGATTTACTTCAAAATAGGCGATGGGAATGCAGCGAAAACAACGCTTCTAGGGCCTGTGGTGCCAAGATGGTCATATATAGGACCTCACCGTTTCGAACAATACAAGGCAAGGTTATGCAAATTCCACAGTATTCGTGGGCATTGATGGGTTTTTTCCTGGGGTTGTGGCGCAGATTCGATCAGTTCGGTGATTGTAGCCACATATTCGACTACGGCTACGGTTGATTACAATCCAGGGTACGCGTCCGTGTAAGTAAGTGAGTATGAATCCTATGCATGTGCCTTGTGTTGCTAGGTGCTTTGTTAGCCAGGATGCTATATTTCGGACGATTGCTGTTCATTTGTTTCAGCGGGTCATCTGCGGGTATGGGGGCCTCTGGCCTGATGATATCCTTGCGGATTCCATCAATCAACCAACGGGCAACCTGGTCTCGTGGCTGTGGATACCTGCCAATTCCAAAAGGCTGGCTGTTCTGCCGCCGGTTTAGCACATCGCCGCGTTCCTAGATAAGTATCCTGCTCGCATTCCTCTCATTGGCACCATTCAAGATGAAGAAGCATGTCGGTGTTCTCCTTGATGGCGCTAGACTTGATCGAGGAACGTCATCGGGCCTCAACTACTAATTCCAAGTAAATGATGATGCATCGTCGCTCATACCGGACAGAACTGGGCTCTAGTGATCCAAGCTTCTGCCGCCGTTCAATAGAAAGCGAAACAAAGAGCGCGGATTCCAAGGAGAAGAGTGTCGGAGTATTTTGGCGTGTGGAGCAGGCATAATTATCTGACCCATTGGCGTTCGTGGGGACGTCCAGGACATTTGGCTTACCATCGACGGACAAGAACCGTCCGAAATCATTCTTCTTTGCATTGCCTGTTAAGCCCTGGTCTCATACGCCCGGTAAAATCGATATCCAAATTATCGCCGTCTGATCACTGGCCAGATATCACGCATTCTCAAACTCCATTTCCACATGCGCGGTCTCATGATACTGGTATTCGAGACCAGATTATACAGAGAGATACGGACTATTTGACAATATGAAACTATACGAAGACGCTAGGGCTACGGTGCTAGACACTTAAGGAAGTAAAACTTCGGAATCAGATGTGGTGGAGTAGACCCTCACTCGGCGCAATTGGCGCTGAGTTGAACATCATGAAGTCTGAAATAATTCCCAACAGTACCATAACTGGGCGGACCCGGGGACAAGGACACAGTTGAGGAATCAGTCCATCGACTGCCTTTCACCGGCGATGCGAGTGGCACCCCTCGTCCACCACTTTTCTTTGGTCTTTCTGAACCTGAAGGAGAGTCATCGGACTTCGTGTTGTATACCGGACTTTGGCTAGTACTGTTGCCGTTGACAAAACGTTCCATTCGGATGGGTTCTCGACGGCGGTTTCGCGGAGCGGGCATTCGTCGATGGTATGTATAGGCGAGAAGATAAGAGAAGGTTGAAGGGAGCAGATAGAAAAAAAGAATAGAAAGAACTTCGCTGGAGGCGTGCTTTGACCAAGCGTTAACGCATTCTGGGGTACAAGTAAGATGAGGTGAGATACGATGTAACAAGAGGACACGTACGTCTTTGGGCGTCCTCTACGTAGAGAATCGGTTGTCTCGGCCATGCGCTACCCCGCTGTTCAATTGAAAGATGAGACCCTTCAACTGAAAAGAAGGAGTTGCATAGCGTACAAAGAGCGACTTTACGTCAAGAGCACCTCTGGAAGACAATGATATGCATTCCTCAATGATATCATCCTGGGGTTTCTCAGAAGACAGAGTAAAGGCCAGAAGAATAGCTTACCGCGAAGGCAAAATATGCGATAGCATCGAGAACGCCGACGGCGGCCAACAACACGGCAGAAAGAAAGGCCAGGTCCACATATATTCGTACAAGCGTAAGCTGCCGCTAATGTACCACGCTGAAAGTTGACGTGGGTACATGAACCGGAACTCAGAAGACTCACCGTGACGGAGCTCACGATGCCAAAGATTTCTATCAGGCAGGCTGCGAAAAATACCACGCCCAGCGTGATCGATACTCTGCCCAGCTTCATGGCCTCGTCTAAAATTGCCGAGTGTCAGGGGAAATAGTGACACAAGACCATTCTATCACTCAACGGCTGTTATCAACATCAGCATCATGAAAAGCGTTCAGCTGAGATGCCGAGTTGAGGAGAGTATGGTTCACTTTAGGCAGGCACGTACTATTCTATGAAGCAAACCCAGTCACGCGATGGCCAACTGAAGGCGACACACATACGAGTAGGAGAACCTGAAAAAGTTGATGACGGTGACTGGCGTAGCCCACGATTAGGAATCGGCTGGACCATCGAGAGAGAGAGCTTGCTGGACGTACCAGCCATTACCGGCCATCTCGTTGATTCAATGTCATAGGCTTGTGAAAAGAAACGGCCGGGCCGTCCGGATCGCATTTGTGGTCTTCCAGAGTAGAACTGGTCATAAATAGGACCAGGATTAAGATTATCATCTTCCAAGCGCATGGTATTATTTCCTCCCGAATAAGAAAACAAGCACTAACCATAAAGTTGCAACGGGGGCGGGCGGATCATGTTCTAAAAAGCGGGAGAAATGGAACAAATTTCTCTACCTTGGGCTGCGGGTTCTAAATAAGCCATTGCGAGCGGTGCTGGTGCTATGAAGATGACGATCAGTTAATACGCCGAACGACGGAGGAAATCATTGATACCCTTGCTCAATGCTGCGCATGTTGCCCATCACCAAGCGGAACGAGCACACCTTGTCGATAACCACCGCAGCACTGATTTCCAGTACACAGCTCGCTTTCGCTATGCGACCAGCGGCAGTGACCCAGGAAACAACAACTGATCGCTAAAAAAAGACAGTTCACGTGTTGCGGAGATCGCGGCTAAAGACAAACAAAGACAACCTTGCTTAGCGGGTCGTCCACCGCCATTAGAGCCTCTTGCCTCTATACAGCCATCTTCCCCTTTCATACCTGCTTTTTTTCATACTTTTCTCTTTCGTTGCTAGTTAATGATGAGTTATAGGCCACCTCCACCTCAAGGTATGTCTTCTTTACGTTAAATGGGTACTCACGCTTATCCGGACATGTAGGCATGTGAACAGTTTTGGCCGCGGTTACGTCCATCTTACCCTTTCATTAATGCATAGGAGCCCCGCCGTCGTATGCGTTTGTTACACGGGTGTATCAACGCAATCTTCGGCCTGTGGTGCTGATATGTACGTGAATCTCAATTACATGAGGACGGGGTTGTTGATGAATCTTGAACAGGCGCTTTCCTGAGTGCCCTGTGGGCATTATTCTCGTATGTTTCCCTCTTCTGCTGTTACGCAATTTTCGGTACTGACGAAGCTCATTTAATAGTGCTGTTCGTAGCATGCTTCTGTTTGTTTACTGAAGAGTTGCTGAACGAAATGACATACAGATTGGAAACTTTAGAAGCATCTCAGTAGCAAAAGACCGTAAGTCTTGGTCTTTTCTTCATTTAATGTATCTTAATCGTCCTTAGAGGGGTTCGGGACACTGGTCACTTTTGGCATTGTGTTAGGAGTTCTTCATATAGGAGTTTTCGTATGTGAAGTGCGTTTCGTTCAAGCTTAATTGTGAAAGAAGCGCACTGACGTGGCTTTTCAGCTGTTTGGAATGTTTGCAGCCTATACTGTGTGCAGTTTCCCCTGCTATTTTTACGTCTTCGAATTAATATACTGTTCATAGCAACGGCTCCCACTCATCCGGATATACGCCTTTGTCTCTGTTCTGGCGACAATTCTTGTTTTTGCTGCTGGACTGGTTCAGATTATAATTCACTTTAGTCTCAAGGCATGTGTAGCTTTATCATGATGTAGCACGAACGCTGACTCGCAGCAGAATGATATAATCAATGAGTGCACTAAATCTTCTACCAATGAGGACGTCCTCTATTATCCATTTGGATTCTTGGGTCCAGTATCTCACGATACTCTTACTCCAGCTGAGGCGAGGGAATGTATGTTAAGTAGACCATTCTGTGTTTCGCCTGTGCTTATACTGTTCCAGGGTGCAGTGATGCGTGGGACCACGACTCTTGGGCCGACGTTGTCTCTCTTATTATCACGTTGAGTGCGTATCATTTAATGTTATGCTCTGTGCTTTGCTCATGGTGTTCAGTTCTTGCCGGCATGTTCAATGCGCTAGCGTTTGCCTATTACCGCCAGGCTTTAGATCCTTCAAGTGTTGCTAATGCCATGCGTGCTCCGTCCAACCAAGTGCGCGCATCCGCCTTCCCTGCGCATTACAACCCGCCATACAATGCTTCCGTGCCGAACTTGGGATACGGCTACAACATGCCATACGCAGGAGGTCCATTCCAGTCCGCACCTGCATACGCGCCGCCACCCGGGCCTCCGCCTCACATGGATGACGGCAAGCTTCCTGGATATGTTGGAGGCGATGGCAAAGGAGCATTTGCCGCAGAAAAGGACGACAATCCCTTTGCCGACTTTGATGATGGTCCCAGTAGAAGGACTGCTGAGAGAGATGTCACGGATTCGAGTCCCCGGAATACCTTTCACTAAGAGGGCGTATACATGAACTGTTGTATTGATTGGATTTGTTCAATTTGCTTGATGTAAATTACTACGCTTATGGCGATGCGATTAACGCTTCTTGGACAGTACTTGTATTAATGAATTGAATGTACCTACTACCCATCAGAAAATACTTGAGTAGGTATTGTCCGTTGTTCATGGAGGAGAATACGGTAACGCGTGACTGCGCCTGGGCTTGTTTTCCATCAACCATTATTCCCTGTCATGAGCGTTCGCCTTTCTGCCACTGAAGATTATGCATCTCTGATTGACAAGTACGACACATGGATGTTCGACTGCGACGGGGTAATTTGGCATGGCGACCGTCTCATCGATGGAGCTATCGATGTCCTACGCCTCCTTCGGAATCGAAGTATGTGGACACCTGTCTTTCCGAAAGAGCGCGAATAATATATCTCTTTTCCGTTCCACGTTCTCAACAACAGAAAAAACCGTTTTATTTGTCACGAACAATGCGACCAAGTCGAGGAGGAGCTACAGGGGGAAATTCGACCAGCTCGGCGTCGAGGCACATGTGGTGAGCTGGACGGTAATATCGGTGTGTGGAATAGCCGGGATGGACTCTCTACCCTGCCTAGGATGAGATCTATGGATCCGCATACGCAGCAGCCGTTTATCTGTCTTCTGTAATCAAGCTACCGAAAGACAAGAAAGTGTATGTAATTGGTATGGCCGGCCTAGAGGAGGAACTCCGCGATGAAGGGGTCTCTTACCTAGGTGGAACTGTGCGTGCACTCCCATTAACTTCGCATTTACTTCCATACTCACTTCTAACTTCCCCCAGGATCCCGCGGATCGCACTCTAGAGCCGTTCTCCCTAGCCAACTTTGTTCTCGATGAGAGCGTTGCGGCCGTGTTGTGCGGCCTTGATACCGCCATTAACTATACCAAACTGTCCAAGGCCTTCCAGTATCTTACGCGGAACCCCGGATGCCAGTTTCTTGTTACGAATGAGGATAGCACGTATCCCAGTGCGGATGGATTACTGCCTGGGGCTGGAGCTATCAGTGCGCCCCTGCGCTTCGCGTTAGGCAAAGACCCTGTGAGCATTGGCAAGCCGGCAAGTACCATGTTGGATTGCATCAAGGCAAAGTACGTGCACTTTTTATTTGTCTTCTTTCGCTGCTATTCGTGGCTTAGTTCTTCTGACAGAGTGAACTATGATCCAAAGCGCACTATCATGGTTGGTGACAGACTCAATACGGATATCTTATTCGGCAAGAACGGCGGAATTTCTACGCTGCTAGTCCTGACTGGTAGGTCGTGTATTCTTTGCACCCGGGTATGAGGGCCTCATGAAGGTTAGGAATCACGGCGGAGGACGAAATCACGGGGCCAAATCCATCCCCAATTATCCCGGACTACGTTACACAGTCGATAGCCGACCTCAACAAGGCCGCCGAGCATTAGATGGGCATTCTTAGCTTAGACTAGTGCAGTACCATAGATACAGACAGCATACATTCATACTCATAGTATTTTGGAGTATCCTCAGGGTCACGCTCCTGACGAGAATAAGTACGTCTAGTAAGGGATAAGTGCTAGTAAGCATCCAGGACAGTAATGTTCGCGGTTTCTGTATATATCGTCGATCCCGTGGGGGATAATCGTAGAACACTGGCAGTATCCCCATTCATGACTAGGACCACCGAATGGGAAGGGTAAACCCTTCGTGAGATTGCGGGTCCGAAGCGACACCGACCCTTGGCAGAAATTTTGCGTTCCTATCGCAAAGAATCAGAACAGAAGAACAGGTTGCACTGAAGAAGGTCCTGGGATCGTCGGGAATCAGAGTGGGAAAGGCCTTCTTCGGTCAGTGCGACATTACTGCCATTTCTCTTATCTTTGGAACCTGGACAATAAAACTCCTCGTGTTTCCTACGCTCGCTTGTTAGATAGAGGATCCTCAGATTAGACATGGAAGAATATAATCATCAGTTTTGGGGTTCTTTTTTGCCTCTGTCACAGCCCCCGGCTGGCCATCGATGACATGCGACTCGTTCACGGGGATCTCGCTTCAAGCTTGCCTGGCCAGGCTCGCCTAACAGTCAGGCGGTCACTGACGATATGATCGCACTAGAGATAGGCGGTGACGCGTGATTTTCAGGGAACGTGTTCACCACATGGATTTCATTGGAATTAAATAGTATCCATCAATGAAGAAGGCGAACGAATGGGAAACCATCTACGATTATTTCCGGTTTTCCTCATGCGTTTTCTTGCGTTCAATTGGGGTATCCATGCCTTCCATTCATCAGTTCTTCGATTCATTGCCAGACGTATAAAATATTCACCTGGTTTGGATATGTTCCCTGCCAGGATCAGGACCATCAATCACAGAGCACCGTTGCAATTATAGTTGATTTTCACGAGGCAACTGGATGGGATTAAACTGATTGCGGGTGTCAATTGAGAATGGAGTGGATCCCCCCCTATATTGAGGAATCTTGCTCTGGACGCCACTGGATAAAAACATTATCACTCGCCGCCACTGTGCGTACCGAAATATGAGAAGCACATACATTTGATCCTAAGGGCAGGCATAGACTGAATAGGTGGTCAAAAGATTCAGGCTTGCCTTGACGGCAAGAAGTCGCACAGGCTCACGGCGTTTGGTACCATAAAACCGAATTTGTCCACGAAGGTGTTCTTTTGTAATTTTGACTGTCTAGTTTCCCAGTCTTGTTTGATGGTCCTAGATCTGGGCCCAGTCGCTGTAAAGTCAGGTAGAGAGGCCAACTGGATTAAATAGTAACGGCTAGTCATTCCATTATGGCGGAAGGATCTTATTGAAGAAGGGCCTTGTAACGCATTTCCTGCCTCAAACGTTCGTGATTATTACTAGGAGATGGAAGGCCACGATGCAACGTGCCCATCAAACATCGTACTGAAAGAGTCGCGTCAAGTGCCGTATCCAAGGGGATGTCGGCCTGCAAGTCATTGACCAGACTGTTGGACAAGTATGCAAAAGTACAACCCATTTATCATCAAAGAGAAGGTCAAACCCAAGAACACGGAGGAGCTAATAAGAGTGTTCAGGCGTCTCTGCTCACGAGTGACAGCTATCGCCAGGAAATCGGTTCAGCGACAAGGCTATTTCAGGTTGATCCTGAGTGGTTAAGAAACCAATGATAGGCTGCTACTAGCACGAAGGTATTTTCGTTGATCGGCAAATCAGCAATTACTAACGGGCCCGGATAGTTCGTGAGTGTGGAGCGCTTGTGCCCATTCAGAATCGAAGTGTTTGCAGAGATAGTAAAGTGGCAGTGGGAGCCTGTCCTCTTCCCAGGTGCATATTTTCAGATAGACTCTCATGAAAGCCGGACACATTATGGTGTTGGAGAAAAGAAGTCGAGGAAAAGAATTTGGTGACTGACCCCGGACCGGCGTGAGCCACGTATGGAACTTCGGTCCGGTAACCGTGAACTTCGTTGAATCCAACCGCCATTTGACGTAAATATTGGTATGCCAGCCATACAGTCTTCATCTGTGTCGGAGAGACAGGGAAGAGTATCTCTCAGGTCGCATGGTCTGCAACGCGCAGCTTCCTTGTCCTCAGATGATGACGAATCAGGTAATCATGGCAGTTCGGCAAATGGTCGAAGAGGAAGGGGAAAAGGGAGAGGTACTGGCACCGACAAGGGAAAAGGGAAACGGGGTGGTAGGGTTGGCGGTATAAACAACCCTATCCCCTTTGACATTCAGATTGATGATGATCGTGATGATGGACACGGTACCGCCAGAATGGTCCAGCCGGATCCAAGTCGAGATACGCCTGAAGCGGGTCCTATCTTTGCATATGGCCTGCAAAAAGTCCCGATGGTGGGTGATTTGCCCTATTTTAATGATAACAGTGCAATCGCTGTGGACGATGCGAATGGAAGGATATACATGTATGGAGGCCAACGGCCGGACACTATAGACCAGTGGAGTTGCGATTTCAATGTCTGCAGTGTGAATGACATGTCGTGGCAAACTTGGACGGTACGTGTGTTCGTGAATCTTGCGTGTTTAATCCTTTTGATCGTAAGATATTCAGCTGTCTTTGGGTGTTCCGTTCAAAAAACCCAAACCACTACCTTGTCTATACCGTGCGGCATCTACATTCCTAAGAATGTATGGATGCGAATATGTTTTTCTATTTGGTGGATGCGACGATGATACATCACAAATTTCTTCAAAACTCATTGCTATTGATGTTAGCGCGAAGATATGGGCGTATGTCAACGTGAAAGGAGATATCGCCCCCCGCATAGACGCGGCTATGGTAGGAATTGGCAACCGGCTTTACGTTTTTGGTGGACGTCCAAATGGCAATGTTGAAGGCCGTAGCATCCTTCGTTCATATTCCGTGGCAGAATGCGATGAATATTGCCATTGGTCTTGGATCGTGGAAGATGAACCATACACCGCTGATGTCCCTAATCTCGGTTTCGGAGGCGGGGCCTTTCCTATCTACGATGGTATGAAAATCCTTCTCACTCCCGGACGTATTCATACTACTGCGGTGCGTGTGTATTCCCGCTTTGTTCCCATGTAAGTTGTTGATCACCGTCCTATCACAGGACATTACGATGTCAGAGAACAATGTAGTGTTTTTCCATACTGAAAACCGAACTTTCCAAAGCGTATCTAAAACAAACGGAAATTTTCCGTCAAACCTTCAGTGGTATAATTCGTATGCTGTCAAACCTTCTCAGAGAACATCGATTCCGCTGCCCCGTGCTGCAGGCTTACCGCCCAGGGAGGCTCTAACAGTTGGACCGTCACATCCATTTACAGTTATCGTGGGCTGGATCAAGTCTCCCGACCATGAAGGATATCTTGTCCCGGAGGTTTGGCAGTACTTTATCCCTCCGAAAGAGCGTGTCCAGTGTCTCAACTTGCACCGGAAGTTATGGGCGCTGGATCTCGACTTGCAGACATTCATTACCGTCAACGGACGGCACTTTTTGTTTGGAGTTGATGAAGACGATGTGTCTAGCAAAAACACAGTTTATAACGTATGTGTTGAGCTTGATCTTCAAAAGCTTCAACCGCCACCAGAGAAGAAAACTCCAGTGAGCTCTTCCTCGTTACCAACAATTTCGGATTCCATCACCTGATGATTGTTGCTTTCTTCAGTCCGTGCCGGTTCGAAATGTGAAGGGTGAAAACATGAAACGGGAATTCGATGAGCACGAATCGGAGATGACAATGTGGTGAATCCAGTAAACACGGTTTTGATCTTATTTTTTTCTTACTCGTCACACACTTATACCCCCTGTTCAATCATTCACTTGTATAGTTATCGTCGCTTTTGATTGTATCGTGTACTACTATCGTCGTTTGCAGTTTACATTTTTCTACACGTCCCGTTGGCCTAAATATACCACTGATCGGTTGCATCCTCTCAGTAGCTGTATATGGTCGATTTTCCTGTATGGACATTTATGCGGACCCAAAAACTTACATGATGCGTGAATTAACAAGACGACGAGATCATGGTAAGTCACTTGTGGATTCGTCTCTTTATATTGATCGAATTTTGCAGACTGAGGAAGAAAATACGTCACAATCAACCTAGAGGAAATTTTGGCTCAGAAATATTTTTAACGTTTCGTTTCGCCGACCCAAGAGTGCGATATTGAATGAGTGACCGCAGCTATGCAATCTGATAGACGAAGGCTTCGGTATGAAACAGAGGAACCAGCATATCCTTGAGAGAGACCATGGGGGTAGAAGACAAAGATCAGCGCGCTACAAGCCCGTACCGTTTCGGCCGCCATCATGTAATTTCCCTCCAACAAGCGCCCGCTCTCTGCTGTTCGTCTCGATGACGATGGATATGAATACCTCACCAGTCAAATCTCTGGCGATGGCTGGCCTTAGCCTCGCCCAAGGTGCATCGACAGCGAGTGACTCCAGCCCCGGTAAAGCTTAAAAACGATGTTTGCCTCGATATTCCACTGAAATTGGATGCATAAGAACCATCTACCGCGTCTTTTATGAATGGAAGAGGACGAACGTTGACAGAGGTCCGTGTTTCTTACGGTGCACGTCCTTGGAGAAGCTAAAGGCACGCAGCTTCTCGACGAACAAGCCCAGCAGCCAATATCTAGAATGGGTGATCCTTGGGAGGCAGGCGTCAACCAGGCCGAAAAATACGACAACGAGTTTTGCAAAGGGTGGAAGGAGGATATCGATACTCTCTTGGTCTTCGTTCGGCGGTCTTCACTATCGTCCTATCCGTTGTAAGCTCTGACGACGATGTTGTAGGCCGGTCTTTTTTCTGCCGCAGTGACGGCATTCACAGTAGAATCCTACCAATGGCTCCAGCCAAACTCTTCCGACATATCTGCTCAGCTTCTCCTGCAGATATCCCGGCAACTTTCCGATCCCAATACAACAACAGTCCAAGCGAACGGCGCCGATGACTTTTCACCCTCCCATACTTCGAGGCGGATCAATGTTTTCTGGTTTCTCAGTCTCACGTTGAGCCTGATGACAGTGGTCATTGGCATATTGTGCAAACAGTGGCTGCGGGAATACCAAAAGGATCCCTCGTTACCGTATCGAGAGTCCCTTGCCCTGCGACAATTGCGATATGAGAGTTTCGAAGCTTGGAGGGTGCATGATATCCTTGCCACGCTGCCGCTCCTTCTTCAGGTTGCTCTTGTCCTTTTCTTGACGGGCATCATGGATTTGTTATGGAGCTTGGACAACGTGGTTGCAGCGATCGTAACTTTGTTCATCGTTCTTGGCTTCCTCATGGTAGTAGCCACAACGGTTCTTCCTTGCCTTGTACATTTGCACAGTGGCGGCCGCCTACCTTGTGCTTATCGATCACCCCAGTCCTGGGCCTTTTTACAAGCAACCTTCTTTCTTCTCCGTGGTTTCAAGAAGCAGTATGTTCGAGGCGACTGGTTTTCCATAGAGACGCGTGACTTCCAGAATTCCTTTGACCGCTTCGCCGCTCGTGGCGTCAGCTGGCTGGACGAAAAGTTTTCGCAGAATTTGACCATGGTTAGGCAGCTGTTTCATTGCATTTCGGATCTAGGGTGGAATAATTTTCGTGCACTCGAATGTGTTCCTGAGGTTCCCATCCAGAAAGTCTCTATGGATGCGGCGCTGTTCAATTATCTGGCTAAACACCATCAGAATCTTGACAATGAAGCACGACTTCACGCACTGGAACTGTTATTTCGAACTATCAGTGTTCGGGATCCAGCGGCGCCAGCCCGCGACGTGATAAAATGGGATCTCTTCCCTGAAGGTAAGTTCTTATCAAAAAAAAAAAAAAAAAAAAAGAATCAGTATTCATTGGTTCTCCAGGCGTCAAGATACTTTGTATGTCTTCGGCATGCTCTCTTTTCAAACCTTCAGTGCTTCTTCCCCATCACATCTTAATCTCTCGTCTCGACCCTTTGCTCCAGTTGTTTCTGTTTTGTGCCTCCGGCAACCCTAGCCCTGTGATACCGATCCGGTGGCATGCACTCCGGCTCATCCGCGCCATCGAGACGTGGACACGCACTTTACGACGGGACGAAGTTATACGTTGCATCTCTGAAGGGGTGTTGCTGAATATCAGGCGAAATCCCAAAAGGCGGATGCTTCACATATCAAACGACGATGAGATGCTTAGCGCGCTTTTGTCCTTCATACAGACGCTAGACACCATCTACAGTGGTGTGCCCGATGATGGTCGTATGAGCCTCGATCCGGTAGACTTTCGGAAATGGAAGGTTCTGGTTAGCCAGGCTGCCGAGCAGGCTGGCAATGTTGAGGCTAGAAGGAAGCAGATGAGGGCCAATTGGCGTAGGATGTTTGACAGGATCATTAGCGATATTCGTGTGAGTAAGGAACAAGAAAAGTCTGAGCAACGAACTAGAGGGGGCAAACGTCGGCAGTTTTCTTTGATGGTGAACAACCTTTTGCATCCCAGGTAGAGTTTCGACGGGTTGTGGTATTATTTCTGCGCAACTTAGACTTAATCCTTTTTTTTACTGAGAATGCGATCGTGGGTTTTGGATCCAGAAGCTGAGGTTTCCGAAGATTTGTACAGCAGAAGAGATTGTATTGTGGTAGTAGTGAGTCTAAAGAGAAGATTAAGAAGATATCTTAGCATAGAGACCCAAAAGGTAGCTGCTGTGAAAGATTTAGAGTCTCCTCTTTCCAAGAACCTTCACCAGAGAGGCTTTCACAATGCCAACAGCCTTCTCCGTCTCTTTCTTAGTGAGCGTACTAGTCATCGCCAGTCGGATACTCGGCCTGACTTCAACCATCTCTTGACCTCGCAGCCTCTGCGCCTTGGCGATCATGACGCCCTGCGAAAGGGCCTCCTCAACGACCTCATGGAGCAAAACTTCCTCCGTCTCGACATCCCAATCCCAGTTGCTTGCATCCTTTGGCAGAATAAACGACGGGTTCGATGGTTTGAGAGACAGATGCGCAGCAGCGGACGGGTGCAGGGTTGGGACAGAGGGTGAGCGAATCTGGATGTGGATCATGGGCGAGGCGGGGTGAGAGGGTATAGTGATGCAGTCGACACGATCAAGGATGGCGCGTGCGGCTCGGACATTTTCCTGCAGAGATTCGAAGATGGATGGGGAGGAGCGAAGGATGTTGATACCCTCTGAGCCACTGACGGAAAGGAGCGGAGGCATGGAGGCGGAAAAGACGAAGCCTAGGCCGTTGATTCGCTGATACGACTATGTCAGAAAAGAGAATGATAAGGTTATGTTCGCATACCTGATGTTCAGTGACGAATTCTGTTCCGGCACAGAAACCTCCAGCTGCACAAAGTCCGATGGCGACAGAGCCGAGAAGCATGTCCACCTTTGAAGCCTGATGTGTGATGTGAGATTGGTATGTCGTTTTATGATGGCGCGACATACGGGAACGTTGTACAGCTCGGTGAGACCACGACCGGTCCGTCCGACGATACCAAACGAGTATGACTCATCGAGGATTAGACGATACTTGTATTTCAGTTTCAGTTCAATCTAAACAGAGAGCTTTGAGTTGAGTAAAAGTGATAGGAAATAGAACGCACTAGCTTGGGAAGATCCACCATCAGACCATCCTTCTCAAATATTCCTTCCGTAACGATGAACCGCCTGGTGAGAGGTCCCCGTTTCTTTTTTCGTTCTTTTTCGATACCCTGAAGTACCTCCTCAAGACTCTGCAAGTCATTGTGGTCGTACCAGCGGATGATGGAACGAGAGATCTGCATTGCCTTCTGGATAGGGAAACTGACACCACGGTCAGCAACGATAATGTCCCCACGTTTACAGAATGCCGGAATGACCGAGGTGATGGTAGAAAATCCCTGAGAATAGAGAATAGCAGTTTCCGTGCCCAGAAAATCTGCGATATCCCGCTCCAAGGCCAAATGGGCGTCTAGAAACGCAATCAGTCGGCCGTGCCAAACTGATTTCTGACCGCGGGCATACCAGTAGTGCCGTAGAATCCAGCAGGACCACAGCTGCCAACACCATATTTCCTGAGCGCTTCGATAGCCTTTGCTTTGATGTGCTCGTTGCCAGCCAGACCGGTGAAGTTGAGGCCAGACAAGCTGACTGCGACTTTGCCCGTCGCGGCGAGTTTTGGCTTAGGCCCGCTCTGACCGACGACGACTGGTACAGAGGAAAGCTCGAGTTCTTCCTGAGAGGTCAAGGGGAGTGAGAGAGGCTCTGGAACCCATTCGTCGACCAGCTCATCGACTTCCTAGCAGGACGCTGTTATTATCTCCAACCGTTGCATCCATCTCATCTCATCATATACCACGCACCTTGTCAGAAAATTTGATGAAGCTTTTCCCAGTCCTATCGGCCCTTGTTCGAGACTGGAGAAGAGTCCGTATGACCAACACGACCAGGATGAGTTCCAGCAGCGTGCGACCCGGGTCATTCTGGTGGGAGCTCCTGATATACCGCTCAATGATGCCAGAGCCTGGCAGACTGTAAAAGGCCCTTTCGAGTGCCAGCAAGGACTCGACGACGAAGGAGAATATTGGCTCAAGAGGGGTCGCCGTGCTCGCCATGGTGGTGGGCTGCAAGGGACAAACTCAAACTCAAATTAGGGGATCATACCCGGTGCCGAAAACGACGGGGCTTCATTTCACGCATATATACACTGCTCCTCACACTAAACTCCACGCCAGTATTGCCGTATTCCAGCCCAAGGACCTTGGCGGGTGAGAATTCCAAGAATGGGTGCTCGTCGCCAGGCGTCATCATGAGCACGTGGTCATCTATCCTTGTCTCTTTCTGTCGATGCAGACGACATTGAGGAATTCCTTTGTCCTCAGAAGCACGTCTTGACAGCCTACACACACCAGCAGGTCGACTACCGCCACGAAGTCGACAACGCCCCACCCCCTAGTAATTGCCACTAATGACTCCGGCTCCGATATCGAATCTTCCGTCGACAGGCAGGGTATCCACCGCCATTCCTTCCTCTAGAAGAGAAGGGGACGAGGAAGTGCGTCCCTATGTTATTGTGTCCGAGATTGGAAAAGGGAGCTTCGCGACGGTGTACAAGGGATATCACGAGGTGCGTATCATTACCACTCGGTCGCTATCGTGGACCCTAACTTTGCGCGCGCGAATGTAATACCAGGAAACCCATGTTCAGGTCGCAATCAAGACCGTCAAGAGAGACAATCTCTCCGCCAAGCTCTTCGACAACCTCCAGAGCGAAATCCAGATCCTCAAATCGCTCTCTCACCGGCACATAACGAGGCTCACCGACATCGTGGTAGGCGGTACCACTCTGTCGTTCTCTGAGGCGTATTAACCGTCGTACAGCGTTCAGAGCATCATATCTACCTCATCATGGAATACTGCTCGGGTGGCGACCTCACCGGTTACATCAAGAAGCGGGGGCGCGTCGAGACTCTCGAGTACATACCCTCACCTGGCGCAGCACCGCAGTACTATCCCCATCCTAGGACAGGCGGTCTCGACGAGGTCGTCCTGCGAAGTTTCCTACGACAACTTGCTAGGGCTCTCAAATTCCTGCGCCATCATAATCTGATTCACAGAGACATAAAGCCTCAGGTTGGTGCCGTACTGCCGTTTTGTACATGACCACGCTCATACGCTGTAGAATTTACTATTGAAACCTGCTACGCCCGAAGAGCTTGCCAAGGGTCATCCTTTAGGTGTCCCACTCCTTAAAGTAGCTGACTTTGGGTTCGCTCGTTCCCTCCCCAGCGCCATGATGGCCGAAACACTGTGCGGTTCGCCGTATGTCGTGTTTCACTGTCACAGTCTGGTTTCATATGACACTTTGATAGATTATACATGGCACCTGAGATACTCGGCTACAGCAAGTACGATGCCAAAGCCGATCTGTGGTCTGTCGGCGCTGTTCTTTACGAGATGGCAGTTGGAAAGCCTCCCTTTCGTGCCCAAAACCACATTGAGCTTCTGAAGAAGATTGAGCATTCAAAGGGCGTCAAGTTTCCGGATGAAGATCCTCAATCGACCGCAGCAAAGAGCGGAGGCGGCGGCAGCACCGACCTTCCTGTACCAAATGACATCAAGAAGCTCATACGTGCCCTGCTCAAGCAGAAGCCGGTCGAACGCGCTAATTTTGACGACTTCTTTGGCAGCCAGGCTATGGCGAAATCAAAGTTCCCTAAACCACGAGAGCCTTCTCCTGAGCCGGAAACCTCATACGATGATGCAAGACCGTGGACTGGACGCCCGCCAACTCCTCCTCATCATAGAATCATCCCGCCGGAAGTGCTGGATCCTACGGCAATGATCCCGCCAAGCAAGTTCAACTTTAGGAGAACGTCTACATTAGGTGATACACCGCATATATAGTTCGTGGCACTCCCTCCTATTTATTTTGCCCCTAATTCTTCCTTTATTACGCACAGTCCAATGCCGACTCGGGAGCACGCACCACCACCTCCGATATCCAGGCGACAGTCAGCTCAAGTTCCAGCCGCAGTGGAGAAAAAACCTCCGGCACCCGTAGAAGCTTCCGTCATTCCCGGAGAGACCGAAGAAGATGGAATTCTCCGTCGAGAGTATGTTTTGGTAGGAGACAGCCGCGCTTTGGAGTTCAATCGTGCAATAGATGGTAAATGTTTTCATGTCATAAGGCGTTTTTTTTTACTTACAATCTGTCATTAGAACTGAGCTCCGTCCCCCGCAAACCGTTAAATGACAGGCGGGTACCGCCTTCACCTTCAGTCGAAGACCCAGCAGTAGATATCACCTTCCCGCCTCCTCCGCATCCCTACGCACCGCCACTATCGAATTCACCATCAAGCATAGCCTCAAGAGCTGCGACAAATGCCTTAAATAGGGCGCTCAGTTTAGCCTCTAAGACGCTGTTTGGTCATCGATCATCCCCATCGCGTGATTACAGTACACCATCTTCTCCCCGAAGACCCCAGATAATAGCCTTGGATGGCGATGGCGAACGGGACCCGCTCGAAGACCAGCTTCTCGCTGACTTGGAAGATCTAGCGCAGAAAACTGACGTGCTAACTCATTGGGCTGACGAGATGTACGAGTACGTCAAGGCTGTACCACAGAGTAAGTTCTTTTCGTTTCGTTTCCGTTCTGTGAGCCAAAACTTTTTTGGGTCTCGCAGAACCTCTTGCCGATCCGAACAGGTTTGCCAAGCGGGATGGGGAGGCTGATCGACAGGCTCGGAGACGGAAGAATGGCGAGATGGAAGCTGAATACAATGCTGTTACGTGTGTTGCGGTGTATATGCTCCTCATGTCGTTTTCACAGAAGGGCATCAATAAGCTGAGAAACCATCAAGAGCATATGAAGATGCGGCGTCCTGACGGGGATTTCGTCGTCAGTGAGGGATTTGATGATGGTGTGTGTCTTTTCATATACTCTTCATGTGAAATCGGGCGTGGTTGATGAGCGTTGTTGTCATAGCGTTGTCCTGGTTCAAGAATCATTATTTGAAGTGTAACGATAGAGCGATATTGGTCAAGACGTGGTTGCCGGCGCGATATGACGGTCCCAAGACGTGGTTAGACCAGCTGGTCTACGACCGCGCGCTCGTATTGGTGAATTGCGCATATGTGTTCGGAGATGCAATGTGCTTATTGATGCCCGTCATGATAGAGTCGCACTGCGGCGCGGAAAGAGCTGCTCGATCAAGCCACGAGCCGAGATGAGTGCGAGAAGTTGTATGAAGAGTCATTGTGGTGTTTGTATGCTCTGGAGGATGATCTGTTGCAGACGCAGAATCCATTTATGGATGAGGATCGAGAGACTATCGCTACTTGTACGTTGTTTTTTGACAGTTGGCCTGCCCCCCCGTCTTGGCTGATGGGTTCTTGCAGGGATCAAGAGGACCAAGCTACGTCTGGTGCGGTGTCGTGCGCGGATGAACATGACTGAGCGCGAACGACTGAATGATGTCAGGGCTGATGTTAATCTCGTGGATGTCGCTAGGATACCAGCGCCTTGGGATGCGAAGCCTAAACCAGAGGATAAGCCTCCCGCCCTGCCTTCAACGTGAGGGAACTTGTTACCCATTGTTTTCCATGCTTTTTGTTTTTTGGGGTTCATTGTATATATATATCTGTAATTGGTTGTATTGTTACTAGCATCCTTCATTCTCTCCTTTCATTCATTCATTCATTCATCTGTCTCGTTAATCAATTACACAAGCATGAGGACATTGCCAATCTATATCACATATATCTGTATGCCTGTAGATCTTTTTATCACGTCACTGTCAGAAATCGAAGCTCTTGTTGAGGTCTCCATGTAGGAGTTGTCGCATTCCTGGTGGTAATTTTGGTTCAGAGCCTTCGGCGATGTATCCTGTGTTGCAAGGGGGGGGGGGGGCAGGTGAGGAAAAGCGGGCGGAGAGAAGTGATGAGGGACGGACTGAAAGGCATTTCGACGCTTTCTTTGGGGTTGAAGGTGATTGTTGGGTAGTCCTGTTAAGGGTTGTTACTAAGGGTTGGGGTCTAGTATCCATTGGACATGGGTGAATGGTCCCAGAACAACCGGAAGTGTGCTGGTCTCTCGAGCTTGAGGAAATCGTACTCACGATGTAGGGTATCTTGTCGATAGGAACTACATAGATGGGATCAATGAAGATACGCGCGTTTTCTGGAATTAATCGCGTACTTTTGTCTTCCACGACCAATTTGGTGACACCCAGGGCGGTGTCCGTCGTCATCTGTATAGGACCCAATCGCCGTGCGGGGAACCCCAAGACACGTAGCTCGGCAGTCCTGTCCCGCGGGGGATCGTCACCTGCACCAATAAAATATATATATTTTTTTAAAAAAGACCTATGTTGAATTTTCACAGAGCCTTACCGAGAATACCCTTTCCTGCGTCAGTGCTAACGCAACGTGAGAGGAATGTGAACATACCCCAAACACGAACCATTCGAACCGCCCATCTCCGTCTTCTGGCGAGAGCTCCTTCTCTGCCTTGGGATCCAACAGGCACGCTTTTTCGATCGCGGGTAGTGTACCTGTGATCCTGTCCATTACTCCGGATTGGAAGCACGTCGCTGTAGCTAAAGTTTCGCTGTTGTCGGTGCTGAACGAAGCGGATAACGCGTCGGCGGATGATTTTGAGACGTTGGTGAAATGCACTTTGGAATCCGGGCCTGCGAGCATTCGCATGTGCTAAAGCGATTTGGTAGGTATATATATGGCAGCGGTTCATTCAGTGGACGAGGGACAGACCGCATACTCTAATATTGCCCAGGGAGGAATGACGCGAGTAGTTTCGTCATCGTCTTCCATATGTTCTGACGGAGATACACAATTGTTTTTTTTTTTTGATTAAGGAACAAGACGGAAAACATACCGATAACGTAGACAAAACCCATTCTTGGCTGCGAATCAATAGAAAGTAACGTAGTAGACGGGTAAACATGGATCCTTTGCTTCTGTTTACTATCGCCCTCCGGCTGACGGCAACCTTATGTCTTGACAGAAAACGGGCAGGTTACAGTATTCGGACGCTTCGGACGCTTCTCAGTAAAATTAAAATTCATTGTAATCCGCGTTTCCATGTCGGATCGATTTTTCACCCTAGGATCCAGATGCATTTTGTGTTGAAAGATTGCGTGGGAAATGATGGCGCACGTGATTTCCGGCGAATTAACGGGTGGGGGCACTGCAAATCTCCAGGCACCTCAACGTTCCGTCCTCAACGTTGCGGACGACGACAAGGCCATCGACTCCCTCCCTCAAGAGCAAGACACCGACGGGGATGGCCAACTCACCTTCACACTCATCGACGCATTCGATGGGCTCGAGCAACCTTCAGCCTCCGAGTGTAACCGACCAGAAACGGCAGAGACGAATGACCAGTCCGTCTTCAGCGTCCTTGACTCTGGTTTGCATTGTATTTGCTGCATATATTCAGTCGATAATGTCATTCATATAGCCTGAAAAATCTCCCAGCCAATCGTCGTCCGGGCGACCACCATCGCCTCTTCGCAACGAGTTCATCCCGAACACGTTCACGGGCGTCGATGCCGAATCCGAAGACGGAGATGAAGACGGTGAAGACGAAGACGAAGATGGCCAATGGATGCGTTCACCCTCTCCAGCGTCCTCCGTATCTCAATTTGCCGCCAACTGGGCAAATCGAGTCGGAAATCTCGTTAGTGGTATCGCGCCCCGGTCGCCCAGTGGCATGCCCACGGACGCCGAGATCGAAGCAGAGGCCGAAAGAGAACGCGAACGTGGCCGCAGGGAGGCTGAGCGAATCTTGACAGAGGAAGCTGCTGGTCGCAAAATGCTGGAAGACCGTGTTTTGGCCATGTTAGAATCGACACGGTCCCTTCCTCCTCCTCCGTCTCGTTCACAGACAGTGCCGGTCTCCAATCCTCCATCGCCGTCGGCGTCCCAAAAGGAGAGCATGGGCTGGTGGACGGCGGCGAAGAATCGGCTTACACCGACCAAGGAACTTACCCCTGCGCAGCAGGTGATACAGGATACCAAAGCCCGCGACAAGGAGCAAAAGAGGACCAGCAAGGGAAAGGAGAAGGAGAAGGAGAAGGAGAAGGAGAAGGAGAAAGCCTGGCCGGCCAACATGCAAACCAAGTATTCCGATCCTGCGTACTTGAACCTCAATGCCCCCACTACACCGCCGCGCCGACCCGTCCCTATCTCGTCTCCCAATGTTTCCCCGACGCCTTCTCGTCCGACCACTACTATTATGCCCCCAAATCTAACACCGTCACCTATGCGCCGTACTGACTCTGGATCGTCACCGTCTCAAGAGGTGCCTCCTCTCTACGCGCACTTCGATCCTGAAGGCACACTGGATGTGCATGTTACGCTTCTTACCATCGCAAAGCGGTTCGAAAAGCTGGAGAAATGGACTGTCGGCCATGTTCGAGCCTTGGAGGAACGGATGAGCGATGTCGAGCGGTGGCTCGTAGATAAGGAGAAGGAGAAGGAGAAAGAGGACTCATTCGTTCGTGAACCTCCAGAACCGGCTCCCAACTACGATAAGGAAATGCAAGATCTTCGCGATGAAATGACAGAGATTCAGAGTCGCGTGGGGGAACTCGGGAGGGAGATGGCAAAATTAGCGACTGCGCCCGCCAATCTTTCTTCCGGACCCTCACGTCAATCCGCAGAAATATCTGTCGCACCACAAACTACATCATCTATTGTCGTTCCAGGGAATTCCTATCCAACGCCCGCTATGAATACGCCTAATCAGGGTCGATATCCTGCTGCGACAGCTCTTCAAACCAGTCCGCCCCTGGGTTCGGCTAAGAGCTCCGTCAGCCGTCTTCCTTATCCAACAGGTGATTACGCTTCTCCTCCTCCAAGCACCGTCACTTCCTTCTCGCCTCCTCATTCACCTCCATCAGCCTCACGTACCCGACCTCTTTCCATTTCTGGTCTTCCTCCAGTTGGGGCTGGGGTGGGTTTGGGCATCAACACGGTGACCACTGCCAGTCACTCCTCTTCTCCTTCGCCTTCAACTTATTCCTCTGCATTTACGTCGACCCAACCAGTCTCTCGTTCCTCAAGCCCAGCGCCGAAGAATCTACCACCGCCTCCTGGATCACGCAGACCCAGTTACAGCCCGACACCGGCTCCCCGAAAACGATACACTGTTGCACTGGGCGAACCTATCACGTCCCCTCCAGAGGAAGAGGAACGACCCCCCGAGCGCCCATCTTCATCCGCAGCATCACCATCCATCGGCCGAGCATACTTCTCAAGCTCCCCCAAAGCAGTCAGCGACGAGGAGGAGGAGGAGGGGGAGTTCCAAGAAGAGACGGTCGGAAAATCCAGCGCTTCCAGGCGCCTCGGCTCGAGTTCCGCCCCTGCTTCACCCCCGAACGCGGACCGGCGGATTCGTGCTCAGTCGACGTATGGGTTCTCTTCATTGCAAGCCCCGCAGGCGTCCATATCGCCGTTAAAGCCAAAGTTGCGGTCGCGGTCGTCGGAGCGCAGCACGGCGGTGGCACCTGCTCTGGGCAAGTTTGTGGATCCGTATGTGTTGAGGCAGCAGAGTATGAATGCGAGCAAGGTCCCTGCTCCGAAACGTGTTGGAAAGGTCCCGATCGGTCAGCTGGTCGCGTTTTTTGATGGGGAGAAGTAGAAATGATGATGATGATTTTTTTTTTAATGCATATATTTTTTTTGTTTTTGGTCTTGTGTGTTGTGTTGTTGGTGGCACATCTATAATCATCTATACCCTACTATAGCATTATCTTTCAATCAGTAGTCAAGTCCGCTCAGAATCAGACAAGTCTTTGGGTCATATTCTATGTGACGTAAAATTTAAGTCGTTCCTCCTGTGTATTTGTGACTTCCTTTCATTCCTGGCTTCGCTGTTCGCGTACAGGAGTGCCGTCAAAAAAAGATTTATGGGAAGATTTTCTTCGCACCTAGCTCGTGTGAGCGGTCTTGGTATTCACGATCTCATTCTAAACATATACACGTCCGACAGATCCTTCCAGCTCCCCACACTTATCTCGCTGACAGTGGTGTGTGTAGTCCTGACCGTCCAAAGTCAAAAAAAAAACTTAAAACCCTCCCCGGTCTGCGCTACGTTCCGCGGTTCAAAGATCACCATGCCTAACACCCAAAAAGTGTAAATTTCTTCACCGAATTGATAAGCCTTTTCCTGAAAGGGTCGGGTTCGGGTTCGGGTTAACCAATTAAGCCACAATATATGGCTTAGGTTGTCCCCAACATCCTCGAGCAAGAAAGCAAAGTAACCACCAGCAGGTCTTTCGAGTATCCCGTGACACACGGGGGACGAGAGAACAGTCCTTGAGGGCGACCTCTCATAGTAGAAACCATGCTCGACTGGATTTCTGATACAAACTTGACGATACGCAATTTGCCTCGATAAAACGTGGACGTAGATGATCTTCTTTGATGCATGCTGTGGCCCCTCAGATCACTTTTTTCACTTTCAAGTTCACACTATGTTTACTGGTCATCCTAACTGTGCTGTTCATGACTAAGGTATTCTCCGGTCACGTCGACGTTTACACAACCTCCACTGCAAACTGAAGAACTTGGGCCGTGCAGATAATTTCAAAGATATAAATGTGACAACAGCTCGCAGAGTGGATTCTCATAAGATCATTAGATATTTGTTATAGAGACAAAAATTAATACAAGAATTGGAGCGCTTCAAGTTGACTTCGTCTCGCCATCACACCAATTGATATCGAGCGTACGCATTTCCTTTCAAGAACTGAAAACCGGGAACTCGCTAATCCTCAGCTTGGTCGACTGCACAAATTTCATTAGTCTCCTGATAGAACATAGGATAAAAGTCTCACCCCGTAAGGATTAAGCACAATAGTCTCGATGCTCCCAGTACAGTTCGGTTTCGTTGGCGGGACATTAACGAATGTATCTCCTGCGAGACCCCACTCGATGGAGCAAGCAGATACGGTAATTGAACCAGGGGGCAATCCCTGGTCAAAGATTGGTGATGGGAGAATGCCATCGGCTGGGGGAGAATAAACATATTTGGCTGTCGATGGGTCGATCGCGTAGGCCCACGCTGAAGTGGCGTCAAACTCATAGTCAGAGGCTCGGGGCTCGACAGCGTTCGCTTTGATGACTGTGCTGTTGAAGGATACTAGTAGATACATTGGTGTCAGGTTGGACTTGGGGTAGAGAGGAAAATGACTTGCTGTCGAGTGCATAATGAAGCGGGCCTCGGTGCAGAGCAACAGCACCGTGGAGACGGCTTTCTGTGGACAAGTTAGACGGTACAGCTTTAGGGTCACAGCTGTAAGGAGCCTTACCAGTGGTTATCTCGGCAGGAAGATTCAAAATGAAGTTCGTTGTCCCGGAAGGAATGTTGATTGCGAATAAACCATTGCTAGGAGACACTGCTTTGGTCGAGCGTCCATTCGTTGTAATCGTTCCATTAATGACCCAGTCTGGTATCCGCACGTAGAATGTGAATGCCTTGGATGCGGTGACGCTGTAGGATAGTGTATCTCCAAATGGGTATAGCGTGTCGATGCTGACGGTCACTGCATTGTCTACAAAGGAATTGAACATGACCTAAGCTGGAGGTACAAGGAGGGAACTCACTCCCGGATAGGGTCGTAGATGTCTTCAAGGGACCAAGATAAGCTTGGATGAGAGAAGATTGATCGGCAGTAGTCAGGAAGGAATTGGTTACAAATTTCGGATAACCTTGAGGGTGGTTGACGGTGCAGCATCTGTAATATTCTGTAAATGCTAAAGAATTACAAAAAAGCAAACAGCCAACGGGTAATAAGGTTGCAATCCAAAGACATTCGAGTAGCCACTTCAGTTCTTGTCAAGATCGGGGCTGAGAGGAAGAGCTCTGCACGCACGAATTCACAGCAAAGGGATCTCTGGAGTACGTAAGTCACAGAATCGACACAAGGAAAGGTCAAACTGACGTTGTCATGTTTTTCGATGCAATTTGATTCTGCTGCTGATCATACTGTCTTGCCCACATATCTGAAGTCGAGTTAGTGTCACATTGTGGACATATTTGGGCTCATCAAGTTCGCTTACCTCCTGTTAGTGTTCCAGGCAATGCGTTATAGGTAATTCTCTCGACCTATATTCTAAAGTTACAGGATTCAACAAAGAGACAAGGCATGTACCGACCCTATCCAAGAACTTTGTATCCCCAATCATTTGGTACAAGTACGAGCCGCTAAACATTGTCTCTACGACATCGCATAATTCAGTTCTGCGGAATTGAGCTGGAGGTGAGCGGAATGTGTATACAACAATGCTTACCCCCGCGTGGCTTCCATCCCTGCAAGATATTCGTCTGCCCCATAAATTCCCGAGGGTCTCCCATGATACTCAAACAAGAGATCCCAACCGGAGGACACGAGGTCCAAGTCTATAAAATGTTAATGTCAGTAGAGTAACGAGAAATGAATGGAGCACACCAGATTGATTATAAGTGAAGCGATATGTAGCGGGAAGTGCCTTCAGACCCTCTGCCATGTTCACGCCATGCCACTGCCAAAGATTCATCAACAAAGCACGGAAACTACCAAGTCACATACAACTTACGGTCAGAACATATCCGGTGGGATTCACTAGATCCTCTACAGGCCCATGGGGAAAATTCTACAAATTAGAAATAAACACCAAAGTGAACACTGACAGATGATACTGACTTGTGCCATAAATACCTCCTCCCACGGCACGCCGCTCCACTTGAGCTGGAGCATGGTGTCCAAAAGAAGGTCCTCGTTCCCATTGGGATGATAGTCGTACAGCCATTGAAGGGTCATTACGAAATCTCCCCACCTTGTGTTCGTCCAAGGCTCCAACCCTTCTCCATTTCTGATCATTTCGTTTGCAAGAGGGACGAACTTGAGCATGGCGTCAACAACGCGGTCCGTAAGAGACGAATTGTATTCGACCATTTGGATTGCCCCGAAGAAGAATGGGTAACGGCCCCAGAGATATCTGGTGCGGTTATTACCTGCTTCCGGTCCGAGCCAACCGCCGGTCTCTTGATGAGTGAGAACGTAGTCAAGGAATTGGTAAGTCTGGGTCTGGATCTCGGAATTTGAGGTGAGGACGCCGTGAGGTACCATCCCGTTGAACCAGTAGCTTCCGGCTAAAGAAATAAGGTTAAGCTGGAAGCAATCAATACAATTTACCTTCTTCAAGGCTGGAATAGGCAGAAGAGCCGCCAATCCAGTCACTGTCCTCGACGTAGTTATAGAAGTCGTGTAAATGTCCGGCCATACCATTGGTCTGAACATCAAGCTAGTTCACCGATAATTTAGAAAGGTTTCAACAAGATTAGAGGCAAACAATTCACCTGATCGCTCAGCCAACCAAGAGCTCGTACCTCGCCAAGCGGAAGGGTGAGATACTTCTTTGCAGCAACTGAAATTATGAGACGGACGTCTGTGCATACAGAGAGGGGACGTACGCTGAGCAACTGCACCATTAAAGGCACTAAAAGCAGCGCCTAAGACAAGAAGCGAGCGCATCGTTGGAGTAGAAAAATGCACTAGATACCAAAGCCTCAGATAGAGCTTTATGTATACTGAGGAAGAAATTGTTTATCAAAGTAGATAGAAGACGAGAGAGCCGTGTGCATGCGAAGAGTTGAAAGCATGGTCGAGAGATAGAAGGAGGGGAGGGATCATCCTCGGTACGAATGAATAGTGGCACTTGAGTACGAATCCAGCGGAGAGCCGTCATGCCAGGAACCCTTCGTCGATAGTGAATGTAGGCCTCTCGCAGAGCACGTGCACCAGTGCCAGACGAACATCGTGCACGAACATCCAAACCGGCCCGGCCAGCAGCAGCGCTAGCAGATGTCCTATAATCAATCAGCTTTCTCTAGGCACCATGATATCGGCGTAATTCTCGGAACAAATCATGTGGTATCGTTGCAGAATACAGCGGATTGATGGCCCATGAGTACAAGACTGTACTCCGTTATTAGCACATGTACGATGGATCATTGCTGGCCGGCATGAGAATTTTGAAGGGATATATGTCTGGACGAATCTCGCTACCTGTCAACGCTCCGAGCTAGGCTTGCAGGTAAGCATTCTATCATGAACAGTGCGCGATGCGACCGATCTCCTTCACCAGCCCTTTCTTTTCCGAAACCAGATCCAGCCACTTGTCAATGTCCAGACCATGCACCTTGTACAAGGCCTCCCGCCACGTCGAGATGGAGCTGTCCAGCACCGGATGTGTACGAAACCTCCCGTCCTTAATACAAAAACCTACCGAGGATCTGCTCATTCTCCCTTTTAGGCGTGGTAACACGTACCACAAGTACGCACAGATTACCGTCGACAGGCCAGACAGATACGTTACAGGCTCTATTATGTCCCATCCGTAATCCCAGAATGACAGACGCGCAACGATACCTCAGTACGTATGCCACAAGCATCCCGAATCCACCGATCGCCATACGCTTCGCACCACGCTGGGCCTCCTTATCGCACGAGCTCCAAGAACAGCAAGTCGTATGTATTGAACTGATACTGAACAAGCAAGAGGAAGTCCGATCATAGTAGTTACACTTGCTTTACCGGTGGAAAGCGTCAGCATTCTTCCTATAGAACTCGATCTGTTCCGCTCGATAGCCATCTGTAATGACAGTCACATTCTCGTCCTTCAATTGTAAGAGCACCTGGGGCCATGATCAGTGAGAGAAAACCACTTCGACGGGTAGTTTTAAAATACCTCATTGTCCGGTGTATACTGTGGCCAGTTGGGACCTGTCAATGGATTAACAAATATTCAGCTAACGGCATGAGAGTCACTCACGAGACGTCCCTAAGCCATCATTGGGATCCAAGCTCGTAGCGAATGAAACCCAATAGTCGACCATCATTTCACCCAACAAGATCGACGAAGCGGGTTCGGTGGAGGAGTTCAGCTCTCCGTAGATAAAGTATAATTCTGTGGTATGAGGAACTGGAAAACGTCTTAGTACAAGCCGAATCGACTCAGAAAAGACAAGATCCACCTCCGTAGTGGGGAGCGAACAACGAAGTATTCTGCGCGAATTGGTATCCGTACGCTTTCACGCCTGCTTGTGTAGCAGTCTGTGTCCATGCTCGACGTTCAGCATCAATGACCAAGTCACCAGCTGAAAGTGATGCATATTGATGATTGAGCATTTCATGTTGGAACAAGGAATAATGCTTACTCATGGATGCCACTCTCTTATAGCCTATGGGCAACCCAAATGTATCATTTCCGGTACCATACGGCAAGCCCAAGGATGGGTCGTCAGGGTACAGTTCGAGAAGCTGGTCCAGGATATCATCAGAGATGTAAGGTGGGAAAGCTGAATAGGTGGTTTGTATGTAGTCCCTAATGACCTCATCAGTGAAACTAGTATTTGTCGATAGGCCGAGCGTTCCTAATGAGCGCCCAATGTTGAGTCCGGCCCATGCAAAGAGTTCATATCATACCTTCATCTAGGTTCGAGCCTGCAATGAAAGGAATCGTGGCAAACTCGCCCTTTGCCCAGAGATGTGTAGGCAAATCGGGAATAAGACCCGAAGGACCGTCCAGAGTCGGAGAAAAGGCAGATTTTCCTGGGAGGGACAATGTATATGCCTCCACAAGTCCTTGATATATAGCAGATGAATTCGCCGCCTGCAGACAGGGGAAAGTGTTCTGTGTGCCGGCGACAGACTCGCAACCTGGTGTCCCTGCAACGAAATACTCCCAGCTAGATTCTTGCGTAGATGCATTATAAAAGACGGTGGAGGATGCAGCACCAGATTCGAAGATCTAGCTATTGATTCAGAATGATAACTTCTCTGAAATGACTATATGCATACCGCAGCTCGGGCCCAGTTAGAGATCGACGAGTTTAGAAGCATCAAACCTGTCGACATGGCTCCAGCGCTTTCCCCAAACATTGTCACCTATTTGGACTTGTTATCCCAGACAATCGGCATATCATGTATTTATGCACCTTGGCTTTGTCGCCACCGAAGAAGCCAATATTCTCTTGAACCCATTCCAGGGCAGTTAGCTGATCTCTAGTTCCGAGATTGATCACTCCTCTGTCAGCGGCCTCCTGTCCTTGAGGGAAACCTAATGGCCCTAGCCGATAATTGTAGTTCACATAGATGATGGGAGTACCCTGGAAGCAATTAGCCGCAAAGACGTGCATAGAACGCGAAACCGTACTCTGGTAACACTCTGGGCAACGATATTGCTTCCATTGTACGACGACGAAGCGCCTGAAAAGAAACCGCCACCATAGGTCCTTCAGCGTCATTAGCGCGAGGATCACATGAATGAAAGATATAATTTTACCAGAACATCACGGGCAATAAGTCCTCAGAAGACACTCCCGTCGGCCTAAATATGTTGATGGTCAAACAATCCTCCGACATCTCATCGGTTTCAAGGTCCTATTATTTCTGAGATGAAAATAGAATCGCAAGTATCAAACTGAAAGACCTACCTCCTGTAAACAGGCTAGTCCAAAATTCTGGGCGTCAAATTCATCGGCATCGATGTCCGTTTTCAATACAGGACGCTCCAAACGCAAGGATCCAACTGGAGGTTCGGCGAATGGAATAGCTAGCCTTCGTTTTAGCGTTAACCATTAGTGTGCGTGCGGTATGTGGACTTGCCTCCAAAGAAGTCCACCTGTAGCCCCGTAAGATCTCTTCCAACGAGTTTGGTTTTGCCCAGTTGGACTTCGGGGGCCGAAGCAGCCAAAAGAGCACAGTAGAGTAAGAATATCACGATGAGCATGGTTAATGCGACGAGAAATGGGGGAGAACACGGCCTCCTTATGTAGCGTTTTGGGTTCGGAGCATGTTGGCCGTTTGGAAAGAGGAAGAGGTATTATTGCAAAATATGGGATTCACGCACACTGCGCAGATGCTTCGAAAATCCGACGCGTCAGGGTCAAGCGGTGATTGACCTACCGAAGTATCAGCGAAATCGCTAATCACGAGTTTGCGGCGCAGTCGTTACAGCAATTACACCCTTAAGATCCATGCATGCCACCTTTCGCGCCAGAGTATCGAAAAAAATACGTGTCAAGCATTGCGGGATGATACTGATAATGGGAAGGAGGGGATACGCGTACTCCAGCATCCGACGCGACTGATGGTGAAGCCTTTCAGTTCATTACGCCTCCGCTGCATGACATCTTCAGATACCTATGGCCGTCGGAAAGGGAAAGTCAGGAAAGAAATTGCACCCGAGCATCCGCTCAGAGCTCTGCTTATCAAATGGACTGTATAATGGACTCCTGCTGCGGTCGTTGATGGTAGCACCTCGACATGAGTAAAGGAGAAACATTGTTCTCGTTCTTGATGACATACATCTGTCGAAAACTCAACGGCGGCGGAGAACGGGAAGTTGTCACAAAATCCTGGAACACCCAGGACCTTCCAGAGAAACCCAACAACTTCACCTGCTTATCCCAATTTTTCTTTTCCATTTTTGTCCCTCTTCAATGATCAGCTATAACTGTACGAGGAGCTTCCAGACTTTACATGCTATGCGGTCACGAGGTTCCAAGATTTTGTGACAACTTCTCGTTCTCCGCCACCGTGTCAAGCTTGGGTCGATACATACAATTATTAATAAAGCTGCGCCATGCCGCCCTTGCCACGTACCAAGTTTAAAATTGATGCTCAGATCCCCCCCCCCCCCCCCCCCCCCCCCCCCCCCCCCCCCTTCTGGAGTGCAGGGCGTTATGCCCTGTCTTGCTCAGCGCAAAGATCCACCATCCTTATTCTGACAGCTTCTGACAGCAGGAACTGCTGTGCTCATTCTGCTGCCCTTATGTTAATGCATTTATTAATTCTAGGAAAGTGACGCACGTTCGTAGCACCTAGTAGAATACACTTCTAGCTATAATGTAGACCTCACACAGCATAGCGATAAGCAGGAACTGTATAATCACTGTACCTAGTAGAATACACTGTTAGCTATAACATAGACTACAGGGTACTGGTCAGTAAGATATATGAAGTAATACAAGTAGATACTCACCCTCACACAGCATAGCAATAAGCAGAAATGCGGTGAGGGTGCTTGACAGACCATATTCAGTATATATTGTCCATCCCGACATAAAGGAGTATCGAGCTCGGCCAGCGGGATACGACCGAGCTCCTGCTTGCTAATCCAACATTAATATATAGGTTCATTAAAAAACATAGAAAACTGTTGTGAATTGACTCGCGAGTACTCAAATGTACTCAAACGTGTGACTGAGATAGTGTTCAGTCAGCATTGTCGACGACGAAGGATTAGAGTAAGTTGCAGAATATTCTAGAAGTAATTATCATAGCAGATATAAGCAGAAGTTTCGAAGCATAATAAGTAGTAGTTCCTACCTTTATAACCGCCACTAAGTTGTCCTTCCGCCAACAAAAGCTTCCTTCACTAGTGTTAAAATATCCATCACCGACATGCCGTTCAAGTTTTTCAAGTTCATCAAAACTCTGGGCATCTCAGCACCAATCCGATCAAGAAAAGCAAGCAAAGCAACCTCTTTTCCCAGCTTCCCAAGAACATCATCATCGAAATCCATCTTCACATCCAATGTTGTGGAAACAAATTTTTCCAAGATAGTAAACATTCTCAGTGATAGTTCTGATGGCAAAGAGACTTTGAGTCGAAATGAATGATTATAGAACAAGGCACCCGGAATATGGATTCGGAAGCTGTCCATGAAGACCGAGAGATTATATATGTGCTCTGTCACAAAAGGGCATGTCCGACGTTGAGATGTTTTCTGCAAGAGTCGATAAATGGATAAGGCCCGATCATATCTGGACACAAATTTAGTTTGGTTCAGAACAACTCCCATGAGTGCAACATAAAGTTCGGAATCCACAGGTTCGAGCAGTGAGGACGTGGATCCATGGGAGAGTGGTTGTGATATGATGGATAGATGACGCAAGAGCGAGGCATATTTTTGGCGAAGAAATTTGTGTAATGGATTATACCAGAACACACGAAGTGTGCGCAACATGTGCGATCTCTCCAAAAATGTGATGCCTCCATCATATTTCATATTCCGCAGGAGGACAGTGTTTAAAGCCTCAGTTTGATCCAAAGTGAGTTTCGTGACAGTGAAAGTGAAGACATCATCGGGGGATCTGTGGCGGTTCAACTCTGAAATGTCATTCTCGTTGGAAAGCCTGATGGCAGTTTCTCCATTCACCAGTCGAGATGTAGGTTTTTCTTGGGGAATTGACAGTAGATCGCTCGCCATCGGAGCCCCGGACTCGTACAGAGCAACTTTGTGACTGCGCAGTACGAGGGCAATACGGGGACTGACTATATATATGCGATGAGTCATCTCACACCTGGGCGTTAACCCCTCCCACAGTCCGGCTGCACCGTCGGTCAAGATAAACTCTGATGTCGCTTCAGCCTCCCATATGCCTAAAAAGTAACCTTCGGCTTGAACCTGATATGGAATCGCTTCTGAATGCTCCATAATGGGGTCAACGCCGGTCACAACCTGCCTAAAAACCTCCCCATAACCATACTTCTTGAAATCTGCATGGGCGTCGTCTACGATCTGGGAATGGGGCGTGTCCAGATAATAGCGCATGACGCGCAACCATACATCGACGTGTGTCTGGCACTGATGCTCGGTTTGATACCGAATCAACCATTGCCTTATGCTGGGCGAAAGTTTGGGATCATAGTAGGTACTGCCCGCATTACGATAGTGTAACACGAACATGAACTTCCTCAAGTCATCGAGGTCTCTGCGCTTTATAGTTATTTTCCCTCGCGCAAGCTCAGAATGAAGAGTTTCGATGGTCGACGCGGCCTTTGTTTCTAAGAGAGAAAGCTTCTTTTCCACCTCGTTCACGTTGCTAAGACTACTAGCATCTCGATAGAGGTTTTTTTGTCCGTAAATTGTCCCGACTGAGCGTACGGTGAGGCTCCCAGAAGCACAGTCGTAGTAAAGGACCTGATCAGGATCTTCACCTGTACGACGGTATTCTGCTCGTCGCTCGGCCTTGGTTCTTTAGTAAGGAACGAAATAGATGAGAGAAAGTTCATGGTCCGGTAATTACAAGCACTTACTTGCGAGGGCCAGCTTGAAAGCGCCTTAATATGAACCGCGGGATGGCATGTTGATACTGGTCTCTTTGGTCGCTTTTCGGAGGCTGAACATGCGCAGGAGTGGAACGGGCACCTCTTCGCTTGTTACGTGGCGGCATGTGGGAAAGATGTAGAATTGGGTCTAGGCGCCAAAACTCAACGAAACCGGCCTCTAAGCAAGAATCAGACAGGCTCATTGCCTTTCTCAGTCGTTGCTCTTGATGATACCGAAATTTGATCCGACCATCCGGCCCAATACAGAACGCTCATTCATTACCGGGGCATCGCCGATTGTCCCCTCCTGACAGCCAACCACTCCCAATTACCCAGTGAAGGAATGTTTTATTCATTCTCATTACCTACTTACTGGTGTATTTTAGATCTTCACTGATGTAATCAGTAGCCTCGAGAGTCCCCAGTCCATCTTGTCCATCCCTACCCTCTGCGTAAGCCCTTCAATACCTTGCAAATATCGTTCCATAATAGTAGAAGAATATAAGTAAGAGCTACGAAGGAGAGTAAGTAATATAATATCACGCCTGGTAAGGTATATGTACCTCAGTCAGGCACAGATTGTGGAATGACCGAGGTATACGGGTAACTACGGTGAAACTGATATAGTGATCGAGTACGGACAAGGGAAATGTATATAAAAGGTAAGAACGAGTGACGGGTGAAAGGCAAAAAGGGTAAACGATACGGTTCGTACGGATATTCTCCAACATTCCACTCCCCGATGATTGCAACAGATAGACACAGAGACTATCTGCCATTGCGTGCACGTCCACAGAGCTTATTCGCAGATTGTTTTCTAATCGTACTCCTCGACGCATAGACAGAAAATTCCCCTTCCAAGAAACTCAGCAAACTCGATGATATCTCCCTTTCGCAGAGTGTTACCTAAATGCCCCCCACCCATCGACCATCTTCCTACCGAACTTCTCCTCACCATCTTTTCCAATCTTTGTCCAGCAATATGGAGATACGTAACACCAATTCGTCTCTCGCTCATCTGCTCCCGCTGACGCACCATCGCCTACGCCTTGTCCAATTTCTGGTCGTCCATCTTCATTGGACGTTGGTGCGACACCGAAATTATTGACGCCTATCTTACCCATTCACATCGCAACACGCTGGACATTTCTATGCACGTCCCCAGCGAAGAAACGTTTATGAATGAGTGCTTCCAAATGCCTGTCAGAAGCTCACTGGGAAGCTAGACGCTGATACGCAAGATAAGAGGAGCACTAGTGTTACGTGCGCGTCCTAGGAACCATCCGCGGAAGCAAATCTGCAATCGATTCCCAAAGAGGTATTCGCCGCTCGGCATTTTCAAATTTGGGGCGAACAAAAGGAAACATTCACTTCCACTTGTTCAACTTCTCTTATTCGGCCATTTTTCTCTGGCGTGATTCTATTTCTATTCTTGATATTAGCCCCGCTTTTCGATTCTGACCAGGCTACTAATGACTTGATGGTCACAGTGGAGAGACGATCGTCTGCCTCGCATCCAGATCGTCATATACTTTCGCACTACCAGAAATGGAGAAGACACAATTCACCCTCCGAATCCTTCCAGACACACATCGAGACCGACGAGTCAATCCGCCTTAGTCCAGTCTAAGGGAGGCATCATCCCATCGAAGTGAGCTTGCGAACATCAATGACCTATGATCATGGTTAGCAGCATCGACCCTCCGTGTACCAGAGAACCAGCACACGGACGCCTCTATAGAAGTCCTTATGAAGACAAGTGGTTCTGCCTCCTTCGGATCAACCGTTGCGTTGCCCGGCAATTATGGGAGTATTCGCGGCACTGCGTTCCCCGGCGTACTACGTGGAACTCGTGCTCTAAGACTCAGAGTTTTGATTTCTCCTGGTTCACTGAAGCGATCTGAGACAGACCAGATCAGGCCTTGCAAGCGGTGCTGAAATGTACGATTCAATCCGGTATCAAGTAAGATACGTACATCGACGTAAAGGAATAGTTTGAGTCTAAAGAATGGAAAGAAAACATGAGAACATATAATAAGATGCCAAATTATAATTTGAAGTCAATTGGCAAAGATAAACGATACGTTTCGGGAACTTTGAATAAGTACACTATTACTTGGATCCTTTACTAGACGCCTTTCCGCGAACACAAGAGAACAAGATCATATTGAGGACATCCTTGCTGTTGTGACGGTCGTTCCACACTCTTTGCTTTTCCAACGAATAATTGGGGCGGCGTAGTACGGGACGCTAACCGCACGAAGGGGTCTGATTGAAGAACAACATTCCAAGTCCTTGTGCTCATTCGGTAGTTCTTATGCATGTCTTCAGTAGACGAGCTCCAAAAACGGAAATGATGCGTATTCAAGTTGAACTGGTACTGAACAAGCAAAAGGAAGACACAGATCGTAAAGAGACGTTTGCTTTACCGGTGGAAAGCGTCAGCGTTATCCCTATAGAACGAGATCGCTTCCTCCCGATAATCATCCAGAATGACTGTCGTATTGTCGCCATGTAATTGTAGGAGCACCTGGGGTCACAGTCAGTGAGAGAAAGAATTCGGTGAATAGTTTAAACTCACCTCATTCTCCGGCGTGTACTGTGGCCAGTTCGGACCTGAAAGATGATTAATCAACAAGCAGTTCGACCGACGGCATAAGAGTCACTCACGAGACGTTCCTAAGCCATCGTTGGGATCCAAGCTTGTTGCAAACGAAACCCAATAGTCGACCATCATTTCGCCCAACAAGATCGACGAAGCGGGCTCCGTGGAGGAGTTCAATAGTCCATAGATAAAGTCTAGTTCCGACGCATGAGGAACTACCAAACACCTTAGAATAAGTTGGATGGATTCAGGAACGATGAGACCTACCTCCCAAGTACGCTGCGACCGACGAGGCATTTTGCGTAAATTGGTATCCGTACGCCTTCACGCCTGCTTGCGCAGCAGTCTGTGTCCATGTCCGACGCTGAGCATCAAAGGTCAAGTCCCCAGCTGAAATTGATGCTTCAGCAAATTATATTGGGAGCAAGAATTAAGGCTCACTCATGGATGCCACTCTCTTATAGCCTACGGGCAACCCAAATGTATCATTTCCGGTACCATATGGCGAGCCCAAGGAAGGGTTGTCAGGGTACAGTTCGATAAGCCGGTCCAGAATATCATCAGAGATGTAAGGTGGGAATGCCGAGTATGTTTTTTGAATGTAATCCTTGATGACCTCATCGGTAAAACTAGTATTTGTCGATAGGCCGACTGTTCCTAAGGAACACCAACGTTAAGTTCGGCGTTTGTAAAGAGTTCATATCATACCTTCATCTAAGTTCGTGCCTGATATAAAAGGAATCGTGGCAAACTCGCCCTTTGCCCACATACGTGAAGGCAGATCGGGAAAGAGGCCTGAAGGACCATCTAGGACAGGATAAAAGGTAGGACTTTCGATGGCCAACGCATAGGCCTCCACCATTCCTTGATATATAGCCGACGTATTTGCGGCCTGCAAACAGGGGAAAGTGTTCTGTGTGTCAGCGACAGACTCGCAGCCTGGTGTCCCTGCTACAAAGTTCTGCCAGACAGATTCGCGTGTAGATGCGTTATAATAGACGGGGGAAGATGCAGAACCAGACTCAGAGATCTAACCATTCATTCAGACAGATACCTCCTGTGAAATGACCGTATGCATACCGCAGCCCTGGCAAAGTTGGAAATCGACGCGTTTAGAAGCATCATATTTGTCAACATGGATCCAGCACTTTCTCCGAAAATTGTCACCTATTCAGACTCGTTATCCAAGAGAATCAGCATATAATGAATTGACGCACCTTGGTTTTATCACCACCGAACAAACCAATGTTCCCTTGAACCCATTCCAAGGCAGTCAACACATCCCGGACTCCAAGGTTGACCTGTCCTCTGTCTCCGGCTTCTTGTCCTTGAGGGAAGCCTAATGGCCCTAGCCGATAATTGTAGTTCACATAGATGATGGGAGTTCCCTGCAGTCAATTAGCCACAAAGACGTAGATGTAACGCGAAACTTTACTCTAGTAACACTCTGGGCAACGATATTGCTTCCATTGTACGACGACGAAGCGCCTGCAGAGAAACCGCCACCATAAGTCCTTCGGCGTCGTTAGTGAGAGGGCCACATGAATGCAAGATATAATTTTACCAGAACATCACGGGCAATAAGTCCTCAGAAGACACTCCCGTCGGCCTAAATATGTTGATGGTCGAACAATCCTCTGATATCTCATCGGTTTCAAGGCCCTGTTATTTCTGCCATCAAGATAAAATCGCAGATATGAAGCAGAAATACCTACCTCCTGTAAACAGGCTAGTCCAAAATTTTGGGCGTCGAATTCATCGGCATCAATGTTCGTTTTCAATACAGGGCGCTCCAAGCGCAAGGTGCCAACCGGAGGTTCAGCGAATGGAATCCCTAGCCAATGTCTTAGCCTTGAGCATCGCTGCATGGTATGCTGGCCCACCTCCAAAGAACTCTTGCTGTAGTCCTGTAAGATCTCTTCCAACGAGCTTGGTCTTGCCCAGTTGGACCTCGGGAGCTGAAGCAGCCAAGAGAGCACAGCAGAGCAAGGATATCACGATGAGCATAGTTAGCGAGACAAGAAATGGGAGAGAAAATGGCCTCTTTATGTAACATTTTATTTCAGAGAACGATGGCCGTTAGGAAAGACGCAGCAGAGGTATTATTGAAAAATATCGGATTCACACACACTGCGCAGGTGCTCCGAGGCAAAAAAAGAGGTTTCGTTCGCCTGTCATCCACCGGTCTGAACGCTATGGAAAATTCGACGCGTCAGGGAGCCGGGCCTGACATTCCGAATATCAGAAAGTTTTTAGCAATTCATCCAAGCACAAGGCATCGTTCAAGGGATTAAATCGTTAAGATCCTTGCAAACCATCTCTCGCCAGAATATCAAAAAATGAGGGTCGAGCATTGCAGGATAATAGTGGTAAGGAAGAGAGACGCGTTCTTTGTTTGGTCAACTTTGCCTCCTCGATGCGTACTACGTCGACACTAGCCAACAGTGGTGAGCCTTTTCGTTCATTCACCGCTGACCACCGATATTTTCGGGGCATCAAAGAGAAATTCAGCAATGAAATTTCATCGCCAACCTTCTCTCAGATCCCCGTCTCCAGTGTTTACCCAATGAATTTCTGCTGCGGTTGTTAATAATAGCACCTCGACACGAGTACTGAGAGGAACTGTTCTCGGTGACATGCGCCTGTCGAAGACTCAACGGTGTCGCCGCCACAGACACGGGACTTTGGGAGAAATATCGACTTCTTCCCTCAGAGACCTCCGTCACGAAGCCCCACAGAAACATTCCTTCAATGTTCAGCCATAACTATACGGAGGAGCTTCAAGACCTTACATACTATGTAGCGAAGTTCCAGCGACAACTTCCCGTTCTCCATGTCAAGCTTTGTTCTTACATTTCGATGCGTACCATCAAAGCTGCGCAGTGCAAAGACGTTCGGCTATACGGCTCTGCTAACTCATCCCAGTGACCTAACACGGAAACATATCTGCCAGCTGGAGTCAAAGGAATCAAATCACCTTCGTTGACTTGTTTATCCGCTCCGTCAAACAGCTTTACCTCGCATTTTTTCTCGATCTGTCGAATCGACTCCTGACAACTCCGAATTAAGATTATTCCTTTTCGCGGAAGCTCGTGGGTCTCTCGGCGTGTATTTGCTATGAGAAATGTCCAACTAACCAACCCCCCCCCTCTCGAAAATATTCTGCAACCCTGTCTAGGCGCCTTACCCATGTCACCGCAGTTCAACGTTGTTAATCTTGAGCATCTCCCAATCCGCCACTTTTTTCAGTTGTAAGATGACAATGATACGGTGGGGTCCGGTTAGGCAGCTTGAAAACAAGATAGTTCGCAGGCAAGCATACTAGACATGGCTGGTGAGACGATGGTAATAAAATACCGGTAACAAGGAGAGGCCCACCCAGTTGTGAGGCAGTTGCTATATATCTAGCAAAGAAAAAAATTATACTCTGCGTCCTTAGTCGTTGATGCTAGACAGCGACCTGATATGATACTCGGTGAAGACTGACCTCTATGGCCAAGACTCTGGCGCCAGCTTGTCTCTTTGTCGCGTCAAGCCTCATTGGGAATGCATGGTCTCAGCCACAGGTTTATGGAGTATAAAGATACAAACTATAAAACCAGCGATGGCCCGTATGACGGGGACTATTGCTGTAATGGCGTTGTGGCCATACTCGCTCACTCACGTCGGCTTCGCTCAAAAGTCCAAAGACCTCCGAGTCCGTCGGCTTACAAGATATACGATACATTTCCAACCTGACCAGAGAAGAGGGAAATTCCTTCAGCTGCCTGAAGAGGAGAATAGGGTCTGACCGACAGTAAATGGGACGACCCTCCGCAAGGGCCATAGTGGTACAGTCAAGGGTCACTTGAGCGCAGACACGCAGCTCAGGATGAACGTCAGAAACTCTTGAATGTTGGTATAATAAATTCAAGAAATCCTTTTCCACGCCTTCCACAGACACTCAGCTCAGGAAAGATGGGGAGGAACAGATTGTTGAGAGCAGGTTGCGTAGCACAGCAGGGAAAGCCAGGTCTGGAGTCGAAAGTCAAAAGCTAGTGGTTATAAATAGTATGTGATACATACCTGGAGTCAAAAGTCTGTTGGGATTTTGCTGGAAAGTTCTAGAAAGGGCAATCCGGCATCATGCCGAGAGTTGATGAGTAAGCTCGAGAGAAAGAGAAAGTTGTAGTAAATTCTAGATACAAGCCTGGAGAGTATAAATACGAGCTCTGTAGGAGCTGCAGAATAATAAGTTCATACTATCTGGCCTTACCAGCCTGGAGTCTACCCTGTGCAACACCAAGGATTTCCAACAAAGTCAAAAGCTAGTAAGCATTGACTTTCGACCTCCAGTATTGGTAGCTACAATTATGTAAGGTAAGAGCAACATGGAGGGTGTGCTACTTCAACACTCCCCCTCAACCGAACATGTCTGCAGAGGTATTGAGACAAGTCCGAGTAAGATAATCATGTGTCTGAGCTTCTCTCTTCCTAATCCCTTTGTCAAGGCATCAGCTGGCATATTTTTGGTTCGTAAGTGGACCACATGGATGCACCCTTTTTCAACTTCATCACGCAGCCAATAGAATCGAAGGTCAAGGTGTTTGACCCAGCCATGATGTTCAGGGTTTCAGGCAACTGACAAAGCAGACTCATTATCGATATAGAGGACTGAGGCATTGGTGAGTGAATAGCCAAACTCTGTGAACAAGTTGCGAAGCCAAAGGATTTCCTGACCAGCAGACATGGCTGAAACATATTCTGCCTCTGTTGTTGAGAGTGTCACAAATGCCTGAAGATGATTCATCCAGCTAATGGCTTCAGTACCCATTTTGACAATGAAGCCACTTGTAGAATGCTCACTATCTTTGTCACCCTCATGATCTGCATTGCAGTAAGTCTTAAAGTCAAAGACTGACGAATCTGACTCAGAGTCAGGAGAGTAGACAATGTGATAGTCGACTGTGCCCTTCAGATAGTGTAATAGCCGTTTGAGAGCTTTCCAGTGGGCTGTATCAGGGTTTTTGCTGAATCATGAGAGTACGCTCATGGGATAGGCAACATCGGACCTGATAGCAATAGTGAGGTAGGCCACAGAGCCGAGCACATTCAGGTATGGGATTGTCTGCATTGTCTCATATTCCTCTGGTGTTTTGGGAGACTGATCTGCTATAAGTTTTATGTTTGGATCCAAAGGTGTCAGAACAGGATTGCAGTCAGCCATTCCTGCACATTGCAGAATATCTAGGGTGTATTGGTGCTGGGAGAGAGAGTGTGTTTGGTTGGCTCAGTCACGCTTGATCTTGACACCAAGGAGGTAAGACGTTGGACCTAAGTCTCAAAGCTTGAAATGCTTCTTGAGATTGTTGATGACCTTTGCAACACCATCTGATATCTTTGTAGCAATAGTCATGTCATCAACAAAGACTGAAATGATGATTCGCTCATTGTCTCTCTTGTAAACCCAGACACTATGCTCACATTTTACCCATTCAAAACCCATGGTATTGGTCAATGTTGCATGTAGCTTTTTGTGCCATTCTCTCTCAGCTTGCTTTAGTCTGTATAGAGACTTGAAGAGACGCTAGACCCATTCCTTTCCTTTTTTCTCAAAACCTTCTGGCTGCTCCATATACACCTCTTCTGTCAGCTCACCATTGAGAAATGCTGATGAGATATCGACACTCCATAGCTCTAAATCTTCGAGGGCACCGAGTGCCAGGACGGCTCATAGAGCAGCCCATTTTGGCATTGGAGAGAAGGTTTCAGTGTAATCGAAGCCAGGTCGTTGTGAGTATCCCTTTGCAACAAGTCTTGCTTTATAGCACTCAATTGATCCATCAGCATTGCATTTCACTTTGAATACCCAGCGACTCTCAACTGCCTTTCAATTTGGAGGGTATTTTACCAATTCAAAGACACCATTTTCAATGAGTGCCTGTATCTCTTGCATAGTGGCTTCATACCAACTTGCAGCTTCCTCTGAAGAGCGTTTCATAGCTTCACAGAAGGATTTAGGTTCACCATCATGTATAGATGCCTTATAAGCTGCTTCTATCATGCTTTCAAATGCAACTTCCAGTCCTTCTTTCATCGTCAAGTGCTCGACTGTCTGGCTGGAGAAAGCTATGCCTTCAAGAATAGTTTTGTCTTCTATAAAGGCTGTGTGTGCTTGATCCTCTGCATCTTTTGCATGATCATCGTTGTTAAGATTTCAGCACATTCTACGACCATAACCAGGGCCAGGATTATATAAGCTATCATCATATATTCTGTATTTATATTTGCCTAGGTCTGTTGGAGATAGTGGTGATGGTGATGGTGACGGAGTTAGGTCTGAGAGAGATCCATTAAATGGTGAGCCAGGAGGAGTCATAACATCATGGGGAAGGTGTTATGATTTTTCTTATTTTTCCTCTATTTTCTTTTCTTTTTCCTCGGAAGTGACCCCTATCTTTGCTTAGTCAGAGCACTTACCAGCACTTATGACTGTGGAAACGCTTAGCTCAGCAACCCAAGTCGGTCATTCTCCTGTCGCACTGCTGTGTGCTGTAAAGAGAGAGACAATGCTCTTTTTATCTTCAAATTGCAGTGCACGACTACAGCTCTGCAGCAAGACAACAGCTTTTTGTGGAGAGCCTGGCAACGGTAGGGGAAACAGCACACAGCAAGACAACAGCTTTTGTGAACAGTTATTTATAGTACAATAACAGAACAGTATATAAGTAGTTTAGTTCTTGCTGTAACACCCCAGTCTCGAACTAAAGTTTATATGCCACCATCTTAACTCGAGCTCAACTAATTCAAAAAGAGCCTTGTCCACACAAAACTGTTGGCACACAAAGTGAGCTCAGTCAGTCTAACCTGAAGTGCGAGGTTCTGAACTGTTTATCATGTGTCAATGATCATGTGAGATTTGGGTCTAACAATTAGTTCGAGACTCTCAGCATCCCTTTCTCAAGCCCAATTGTGCTGAGAAACTGAATGCCCATTATGCTTAATCCCTCAAACCCAAACTTCACCTATAAGTTTTTCAAACTCTTCTTGGCTATCATTGGAATTCTGGTCAGTCTGTTGGTGCTCATACAGCTGTGCCATGGACACCAATCGATTCTCATCTGGTCTATCTGTCATTATCATGAATTTCAACATATTCACATTATCCTACGAAATGCTATATCGGACCTTCCTCTTCACGACATCTCTGCTTCCACTCGACCTTCGATGTCCCAACAGCCCCACCAGCCAGAAGGAGTCAACCCTGAAGACGCCTCTGCAAGAACGTCTTCAGAGCACCCTGTGAAAGAAGAGGAACAATTCCAGCAGCATATATACCCACCTTGACCCCCGCTGGCAGTTGTTCAAGACCCAGAGAACCCTTGGGCAACAGGGTTCCAA